AACTGTAATCTTTACACTAAATTGAGATTCTTTTTAAATTAAAGAATGAAAGAAAATACAGGTTTAAGTAATAATAAAAAACTTTCTCTTAATATTTATATTGACATTAACATCATTTTGTAAAAAGAAACAAATGTAATTTATTGTTCTCTAAATTTTGCTTGTTTAAATTCATAATTTGCATCAGGCTGCTTTCAGATAGAAATTAGTTTAGTAAAAAATGTGGAAAATCCTTATTTCATAATAGTTAATATTCATAATAGTTAATATACATAATAGTTAATAACTAAAAAATGTCTTCAGTGAAATGTCTACACAGAAAAATATTAAAACATTGCACTAGAAGTCAATTTTTAAAAGGAAGTGTTACCTCTAGTTCCTAGTATTGGCTGCACCTTCTATAACTTCTTACGAGATTTCATAATTGGTAAGTTTAAGGCTCTTTTAGTAATTCCTTTTCATTAGCTGAAAGAATACAAGCTTCTTTTTTTTGTCCCTTTTTAATTTTTTGATGCTTTTCAATCTGTTAACCTTGAATATCCAGGTTATGGTGTGGGCTAAAGGTAATAAAACTGGCACAAAGACCAGTTCTGTGATCTGATTTTGTCTCAAGAGGTTATTATTTCAAGTCAGTTCCACACAGATTAAATTTAGTGTAGGTAAATGGACATACTGTTACAAAAAAAAAAAAAAACAAAAACAACAGAATTTTCTCTTACAAGAGTTCCTTATGCTCCATTAGACCTGTGTTTTTATCTTAATGCAGTCCATCTGAGCTGATGTGGTTTTCAGCTGCATCCCTGAGAGCTCTTGACTTTGCAAGGTGCATTGGTAGCAACCTTTCTCCAGTTACTAGAGCTCTGTCTTGCACACTGAGCTTACACACCTGGAAAAATATCACAAAGACTGACCAGCACAGGAGGAGTTGCATTTTTCTCCTTACAAAACTTTACTAAAGGAATTTTAGTTTATAAATAGGAGAGCGCTTTTACTGGGCATAAGAATACATACACACAAAAACCAACCCAAGAATGACAAAAACCCAACAAACCAAAACAAACAAAGAAGAGATTCAGCAGAGAAATCGAACCCTGGGTAACACAAAACCTTTATTTTTCTTGCACTAAGTTACCAATCTGAAATTAGGGAAAGAGAAAACTGATTGTATACACACAACACTGGATTAAAGCAGAAATCACCAAAGTGTACCAGGCTGTGGGAGAGAGGAAGCCTAACAGAACAAAGCTGTACCCAGTGCCTTAGTGAGATATGTCTGAAACAAGAATAGAACACTAAATACACTGAAAATGTAGTCAGTATCGCTGCTGCCATTTCCCTCTTCTTCTTGGAAGATAAAGAAGAAATACAATGTCTTAAAGACAAACTGTAGGGCAAAGAGACAAATACCAGACATGTTGCTAGAGAAATGTTTCAAAAATTCATAACTCTAAAGCCAGAGTTGAACAAGCCCAGTGATGCTAAACATCCTAGTCTGCCAGATATTCCAGATTCACAAACCTCTCTTTCCAACCTCCAGAGCAATCCCTAAGGACACAGCTGAGTGGAAATGGCCAGCTTTAAGCAAAGTCCCTGAACTGGAGCTGCTGTACTTGGCGTTCACGCTGATGTGGTACGTTATGGGCAGACATGGCCTGTGTTTCTCATGCAAAGGAGTAAGAGCACCCACTATTTCTAATATTCTGTGTAGGCTTCCAGTTTCATGGGATATACCCTAAGGGGTAAACAGGCAGCAGCTGGGCAGGGAGTGGGAGGGAAAGATCAGGGTAGAGTTTGACTCAGCCATCCCCTACTCACTGACTCATGTGCTGGTGTAGAAGAAAATGCTCTAATTTGTTGCTGGTTGTAGTCAGTTAAAAGTTACCTCTGATACAGAGAAGCAATGAAGACTCTCAAAAGAATGGAAAGATTGATATGCTTTCCGTGCTTTTAAGTAACATTTTTGGGATCAAGGATGTTTTCTGTGCCTGTCTTTTAAAAGACTCAAATTAAAACCTAGGAGGCTCGGGGGCTTTCTACTTGCCTGTAAATTATTTCCCAGCACTCTTGTTGTACTTTAGAAGGAAATCAACTATCAACGTGCCTTTTTTTTAAAGAAGAGACAGTAATAACAAAACAGCTGAAAGTCACATTTCCATCAGCAGTAAAACGTTTTTGTAGCCTTGCTATATATATGTGCCACTGCTAGTCAGTGGCTGTTTCATCACAACTAAACTTTATAGGGTAATTACCATCGTTACTTATATTAGAGCCTAATTATCAGGAGGCTTATTAAGCTTAAATCTTCTCTAACTATTTGGCCAAGAGAGCTGCACTGGATATTTTATCCCACCTATTCATTACTTAAACAGCAGTCACATTGTATGTGCAAGTGTTAGAGAACAGCAAAAGTACCTGTACAGAAAGCCAAACTTCCATCCTTATTTCTCACAAAATGTCCTGTTCAGTTCTGGAAGAGTTTCCATGAAACACAGCTCCCATTTACAAGTGACTGTATCCTTATCACAGGTGCTCCACCTTCCCACAGTGTTATGACTCACACACAATGTATTTTCTCCCCAGTTTCAACATCCATCAATTAATGAAACTAGATTCCATTTAACCAATCAAATGCATTAAAGCAATAAAGGGAAACTTCTCATTTCAAGTTCTCATTGAATGAAAAAAAATAAAACCCCAGAACATTTTGAATACAACAAAACCAGAGTTTTAAAGACCTTTTAAAGAAGATCTTTGAGACTATTCTGCCAAAAAAATCACTTGGCAAAGTGATGTAAATTCATTAAATACTAACAGAAAATCATACAAATGTGTAAAGTAACATTTGTCTGTATCATCACCATCATCTCTCCTAAACTCCCCATCCTCATGGGATCACCAAGAGCCTTGTAGCTTCTCCTTAGGCTATGCTCCCACCTTTATCTTACCATCTGTCCTTCTCTGAAAACTGATATTTTTTAATGACCGTCTTTGCTCTACATAAAGACCTATGTTTAGATCACAATTCCAGAACCCTTAGTGTGATTTCAGAAACTCACAGGTATACTCTGTGGATCAATGCTGAGGCTGAGATGTGGCATCTGATTTTCTAATTTATTTCAGGTATTTAAATCAATGTTGTGCACACCTGTATATTTGCAAAATGCTACAGTGCAGAAACTAAACTTTAATTTTGCTTTTTTCACCCCAACTAAATCCACAAACGTCTATAATTCGGTAAAGACCAGTTTATCCTGGTTCTGTTTTTTAGTCTTGTTACACTCAGGAGAGTGCCTTTTGCTGTTTATGAAAATGCTTAGACACTTTGCTGAAAATCTGTTGTGAGTTGCACCACTATAAGCAGCCCTTGGGGTTCTCCGGATAAATGGAAACTCTCCTCCGTGTCTGCTGAGTGAGTATTGCTATTTTGCTTAGCATTCATCTGAAACTTGGAAGTTAATTTTTTTTTACAATACCTCAAAAGTAACCACTAGTTCCTCATGTCCTTTTTTGGAATTAAAGAAGTCATTAGGATTGAAAAGAAATGTTTGAGATTTAAACCTGTTATGCTTTAAAAGTCAAAGAATAAAAATTTGAACTGTCCATATGTTATTCAAGTGAGAAGAAGAACAGGTGAGAATCTTAGTTGAGACAAAGCAACCCATTTACAATCACCCATGAAGTCCTGTTTATATAAAAAAAAGAGAAGCATTCCCATAGGATTCCCTGCCCTCAAAGCTACTCTTCCAGCTCTCTCAGTCTTTCCATCTGTGTTACATCCCTTGAAGGGCAAAGTATCACCTTCTGCTATTACATTTGGATACAGATACGTACTCGAAGTTAGAAGCAAATGTTATTCATGCATTTTGTTTCCATAAAAAAGCTAAATAACTTTCTACAACTACCCCAACTAAATACTGGTAATTAAATCTACCTGTCCACAATAAATTCAGCCTACCTACAGCAAGATTCAATGCATTGATAGAGCTATTACATTTTTATTATTACTCCTTTAGCTCCTGTGTCCTTTTGCGTTTGAGCCATCACATCACACTGGTGCGGTGCTGTAATGCAGTCCTGGCACTACAGGCTCAGACATCCAGTTCCTGGAACACAACTGGGAACCTTGTGTATGGCACACATGCCAAGCAGAGGGAAAGTGTGCAGGGCTGTAACCAGTTCCCTTGGTAACCAAGTGGTATTTTAAAAGACAAAGTGGTACGTGGTGTTAAGTAAATAAATGCACACAATAAAGGCCCACACACGAGTAACTTTCCTAGATACTGCTGACAATAGAGAGCAGCAGAACATGTAAATTCATGTGCCTTGGACCTGTGAGGAAACAGAAAAATTTCTCCCCAATTAGATGGTCAAATAATGCCCTCATTCACAAGTTCCTTTTAGGCAGCCAGGAACACTCTGCCTCCCAGCCCTTTTCCTCTTACCTCACCACTACTTTCCCAACTCTCTTTCACATTACAAACAGCTACTAAGCAACAGGAGGTTTGCAGAGAATGAGTCACTCTCATGTGGCTGATGGGCTGAGTGCAGGATGGAGATTAGTGACCTGACAAGGCACAGCCCAGAGCCATTGTGCTTCCAGAAAACCAAAGTGGTCACTGAATGCAGCAAAACTTAATATATTATAAGTGCTTTAAAAGGATGTAATTGTAAGTGATGCCTTATAATTCTCACAGACAGATGTGTGAGCCGACAAAGAACACTGCTGTATGTTAGATGCAAAGGTGACATATGGCACTAAGTATTCCATATCAAAAAGGTATTCCCTTAAAGTTAATTAACCGTTTATTAAATTAGATTTTGTTTAGATGGTAATATGAAATCCTTGTGCTTTGGACTGATAGTAAAAATTTGGGGAACCACACAAGGTCAGTCAGTTCCCAATGTAAGCAACAGATTCTGACATAACTGCGAGTGTATCTCCAAACCAGACTTCCTTCTGACTGAGGTTTTACTTTTCTTTTTTTTTTTTCCCCTTTAAGAGAATAACGGAAAAGAGAAAATTTATCTGAAAAAGGACTCAGGAGTTTATCTGGACCACTCCCTTATCTCCAGGGAGGACTCACTTCTACTTCAGATCTGATACAGGTTTGTCTGATTCTTTCCCCAGTAGTATTTGTGTCAGACATTTTGATGGTTCATTTATCACTGTTAACTCAAGAAAAACTCCCAGGGCACCAGCCAGAGCCATTAATCCTTGCAGTATGCTCTGCAGTGCTTAGTGGCAGGGCCCCTAATGAGGACTGCCCAAAGCTTATCTGCAGCATAGACCCCTCAGTCATGAATCAGCTGAGACACCACAGTATCTAGAAAAGAAAGAGCTGTGACTTGTGAATATGAAGAATCTTGGTGCCTGCATGAAAACCTGAGAGGGAAGCTCTTTAGGTTACCCATAAAGTCCTAGAGTGGCTGAATATCCACAGGGAAATTCAGAAGAGAAATGAACAGAAGTGTTTTCCCTCTTAGAGTTTGGTAGAAACCAAACCTACGAGATCTTTACCAAAGTACATTTTAACCTGTTCATTGCCCAGTCTCTTTATAACTGGGTTGATTCAGTTTCCTAGTCTTAATTAGAACTATCTTGTTAAAAATAATTTAATAATATACTCATAAAAATATTGAAATTTGCAGTACCTGCTGTCTTTGAATATTTAAATGAGCTAACTGAGACAAATATTATCAGAAAGACAAACTACAGTGTTATTGGGAAAACAGATTTTGAAGACTGATTCCAGAGTTCAACTGGAAGAAAAAATTACAGAGTTAAACCAGCCTAAATGAACAGACCACGTTTCCATTTTTTCCAGATTTCAAATAAAAACAACCTACAGCTTGTAAGTAATCCACTGAATAGGAGTTCTGAGATTACTTTCAAATTATTAAAAAAAAAAAAATTGTTAGCTGCTCAGACTTCTCACAGGCAATTCCAAATCAAAAAGTTAAAGAAATAATAAACTATGAAGTATTGATGCACTTCAAAATCATAAAAGTTACTAACATAAGACTTTGTTATGCTATTTAGGAGCCTGAAGTAGTTCCACAAATGTGTATACACAAGTGTACATGACCATCAGGGCTCAGGGAGAGATGCTTGACATCAAATTATTCTCCAGTCCAGTAAACAAAAACATACTGATCTAAGATTAGTAGGTTATTAATTTAAATGGTTAGAAGGCTGAATATCAAATAAAATACTTGAACATCAACAAACCAATCCTTGATATGTTCAAAAAACTTGTAATGCTTTAAGAAACTAAACTATGAAATAATATAGCTACACAACACAATAAGTCATTTAACGACATTTTGGCCTTAGTGTGTGTTTCAAGCTGCAGTTCATTTGAATAAAACCAGTTTCTACCTGAATTAATTTGTTTTTTATCAATGACTGCTAACTCAAATTCAGATAAAGTATATATTTGGTGATTATGGTAATCTCTCCACACTACTACACCCAAGTTATGCATGTAAATGAAATATAATCTGTAATTCACAGAAGAAATAATTTTGTTAACCATCTCACCTTCTGGAGCGCTGCTAATTTTCAAGGTTTTATTTTGCTCCTATACTGTTTTATAGTCACTAAACACTAACAGAGATTCTCAAATCTTTTAGGAGTTAAAAGAACAGCATTCAGCTTCCAATAATGAACCAGTAATTATCACAGCCTCACCAACACTCATCCAACCAAGCATGGTTATAGCAAGTTTATTTTTTACTTTGTGCTCACACAGGGGAGTAAACGTGGTGAAACAAAGTTGATCCATCTTCTTTTATCAGTGGAGCACTTGTCTGGTTCTTTACTCCACTCTTGCGTTCTGCTATAATCTTCTTTAGGTGAAGTTCTACCAAATTCACAGTTTCCCTCCAGTAATTTTCCTGCAGAATTAGAGCCTCACAAACACCAGAACATCTGAGTTACTGCATAGTACCACAACTTTTTAAAAATAAAGGCAAGTTCTTACTAGTTGCAGCCATCATGTTGCATTCACATGCTTACCAGCAGCCATTAGATGTAATGCACCATCTGTGCATATGTGGATTAATAGCAGTGCTTCTGGGAGGAGCTTCAAACTCGCATAAGAGAACAGTCTGTAAGTGGTTATTGATGTCCTGATACCACCTAACTATGTTTTATGGCAACTTTCCAGAGAACCTGCACCTTACTTCTATAAACAACCTTCCTAAACAATACCACCACGATAAAGAACCCTCTAACACTTTCTCCTAAGCATTTTTTCTTACTAAGCTTCTGACTAACATTTAATGAGATTCAATAGATTTGAAGGGCCTAATTTTGTGAAAAAGCCTCTCTTTCAGAAGTTTGCAGTACCACTTTGTACTGGGTTTTTTTTCTTGTTTTGGTTTCGTTTGGGGGAGGGAGGTTGGGAAGGGGGTGTTTGGGGGGTTTTTTGGTGGTTTCTTGTGGGGGGCAGTTGTTTTTGTTTGGCTTTTTTGTTTTGTTTGGAGGGTTTTTTTGTTTGTTTTTTTTTTTAAGAACTTCAACTCAGCTTTCAGTTTTGCACATGGAGTTTTACATTTGGAACTAATTATAGGTGTTATGTAACTACCCACCTGATGTGCAGGTAGCTCAGAGATTTTGCTTGAATTCAGTAAGATTACTCTCCTATCATTGTAAAGGAAAAGGGGCTAATTTGATACAGGTATTTTACTTGTGAGAAATGCCTTGATGAGTTGCATTTAATATGAAGAGCTTTCTAATCATGTAAATTCAAGGCATTCTGTCAGAGGATATGTCTGAATCACGTGTATTTGGTTTAACTAATACAGGAAAACTGACAGCAACTTCAGGGCTCTGTCTTCATCTTACGAAAGTAATTATAGTAAAATATTACTGTCACAAGTCCTCAATGTATCAGGCAATGTCTAAGGAGCTTTTAATAGTAGAATATAGCTCCATTTTACAGCTTTAGATGTTCTCTGGTGCAACTGGAGACAACAGTCAATGCCCAAAAGGAAAGAACATTTTTGCTTGATTCATTTGTGCACTGGACTCACAAATGTCTCTGTGCTACAGAATGAAACATAGATCTCAGTAAGGGTGCTAAAAGAACTGTATTAGTAATGGTTTGCATGTTAGTTTGCTTGGAAATGAAATGCTTCAAAGCAGGACAAATATTCAATCCACTGGCTTATTTATTTGTAGAACAAACACTCATGGTATATTATCATACTTCTTTACTTTGTATACAATTTCTGCTTTTTTTTGTGGTTAGGGTCTCTAAAGAGTTTTTGTTGATACTGAGCCTTAACCCTTCTACTAGTCTAAAACATCAGCAATATTCAGAACTACTCCATTTATTCCCTGGTTTACGGTGTTAAAATTGTCAGCAAAAAGCAACCTTTGCAACTTTATTATTAACTGTCCCATAAGGAACTAAACCAATAAGGCCTGATTTCATATCCAAAATGGCTCCATCCCTCCCCAGTCACCAAAATACCTCCAGCTTACCTCCCTTACCATCTTGCAAGGCTTGCTAACCTGTAACGCCTCCAGTTCCTGTCACATCCACTTGTTCTTCCCCACCCTTTCTCCTTCCAGTGAGTGTTGGAACAGTCAGTGTGGTGAGGTCCCAACCATCCCTGGGTACAGCCAACCACAATAACAAAGACCTCCTGAGCTTCTCCTGCTGACTTTTCCTCAGCTGGCAACAATAAGTGGGGCCTCATCTCTACCTGGCTGATCTCCCCCAGCTTTTAGGAATTTGTATCTATGAGGTCTTCACCACTCTATCAAGTTTAGCAGAATGGAAAAAAGGTAATCACACAAACTGTATTTCCTTGGAAAGGCCAAAGCCAGCACCATTTAAAAGTCTTGCATGTAGACACCTCTTTCTGGTTTTGCTACTGTTATTCAGTGTTATGCCTCAGTGATGTCAGTGGCTCTCCCTGGAGGACACTGTTTATTTTATGTAGAAGTAGTGTAAGAAATCATTCATGCAGGCATTCATGCAAGCAATCATTCAGCCTTCAAACAATGCCGATGCTTTTCCTCTTTTTTCTGCACTCAGTCACTCAACTGCCATGAATGAATTAACAACATGAAAAATGTGGGGTGTGCTGAAAGTACAAATAAAAGCATCCACCACAACGTTCATATTGATTTCAGTTCAGAAGAAAATTAAAAATACTTGCCTGAAAACCCAGATGTACAGCCAGTAAATAAAAACGTGGTGCAAACACATTCCCATTAAGAAAAGTCCTACCAGGAAAAGCATGATGGAACAGTTCAATTCTACATACTCAGAGTACTTTGAATTTTCTTACAAAAGTCAATGCAAACAGTCTTCCATCTCCACCACAGACTCACATTGTAAAACAGTAGCTGAGAATGTTTTATTGGTTGAGAAGTACAAGTAGGCAAGTACTTGTGTTCAGTTTGATGACAGATTTCAAGGGTAATTTGGAATTTATTTTCTAACACCTCTTTCAGAAGTGTACACTTGGGGGTACACATGAAGACATGGACATACACCAATTGATTAATGAAATCTATATTTAGTTTCTGTAACAGCATTTAATGAACCACTGGTAACTTAGTGTCTCCCAACCTTATGCTATCAGTCACTACTGTATTTTTTTCCTTTTGTTTTTAGAATGTTTCAAGCATTTTAAAATCCCTAGGGGAAAAATAAAAGTGGATAGCTCATATACAATAGATCTGTAACTGAAAAAAAAAGGTTGTGGCTTCAAAGTTACTTCATTTTGTAGTAGCTGAAGATCTGCCTAAGAATTTATACAGCAAACATACCAATCTTCAAGCAGTATTATGAAGAGCTTTATCATTTCTTAAGTCAGAGTAATTGGTATGAGAACAAAGAAACTGAGGAAAGAAAAACAACCCTGAGCAATAAATTACTTGCAACGTCTTTTCTCCAGTTTCATGCCCCACAAACGCTCCAGTGGAAAACAAAGAGTGAGAACTAGTGATGGTTCATTCATTATTCCCTGCAGATAGCACCGAAAAATGGTAATTTCTTTAGTACAGCAGTTCAAAGATAACCCAGCCCCAGGTCCACACTGACTCACTCACACAACAGACTTTCCAGCAAGGCAAAAGTAAGCCAAAGGTGGATAGCTCTGTTACCTGTTATGTGCTGTGCAGCGAGATGAGGGCTCCTTCCCTAAGAAACCTACACAGAAATGAACCAACCAGCCTCTGGAGGGAGACCTGTACAGAAAACCTGTAGCAGAACACAGCTACATAGATGTTTAAGAGCTTCTAATTCAGTGAAAGGCTCATAATAAGTAATTTTGTGATAACTTTAGAGATTTATAGAAGAGTAAATTAGCTCAAAAAATCAACTCAAAATTTCTTTTAAATTTTATCTGTTACTGTCTTCTGGAGTTTGTTCTTGAAACTGAACAAATATTTCTGAGTTATTTATTACAAAGAGTACTGGCTGTGAAATCCACACCTTAGTCAGTGCTTGAGTATTTTACACACTGCATTTCCTCCTGTTACATGAAAAAGATAGCCCAAAATGTATTTCAACCCATTGTTCATTTATCATTAGGGGGCAAACCCTGACCCTCAGACTTGGATGTTATATTTTTTAACATGTGAATGTTTAAGCAAAACCTCCTAAGATCAACAAGAGAGTAAACGTGCTTCTGCAATAAGTTTTTTATAGTGAGATTTGCAGTGAGATTCCCAGTATTGCTTCTGTTTGCAAATCCTTGGAAATATTTAACTCCCATCCAATTGGGCACAAATTCTGAACCATGAGACATCCTAACTCATAGTATCTAGAATGCAGATAAATATCTGTCTTGTTTGTTTAGCCTGTTAGCTTATAGGGACAGGGATCATCTCTTGCAATATTTGTACGTGATCAAGTAGAACAGAGACTCTGAACTCTACCGTTATACCAAACACTAAGGGTTTTCATGTGGATTTGATGTTCCTTTCAAGCAAATACGGAAATTAAAGGAACACCCAAAGCTCTATCTCAGCCACATTAATCCCGTGAAAGCAGTGACTCACCTAGTAATGGCTTTCCATAAATTAGGCAGCTAAAAATGGGTAGGAAGCGTGAAACCATTAACAGTTCCTATAGTGTAATTCTCTCATTGCATGTGAAGAAAATCCATGGCAGTAAAAATAAAAGAGATGAAGGTGTCAGCACCCGTCATGTTTAGATCTGCTGTTAATAATTCAAATCTTCCTCCTTTGGAGCGTATGGTTTTAGAATGAATCATTCTCTATTTCCTTTCTCAAATGAAAACTGAGGTTCTGTTGCTCACTAATTCCATATGTTTTCTTCCAGCTATGAAAAGAGAAGAAATCAATGTGGCCAATTGCATGTGCTGCCAGCATCATCTCACAGGAGTACCCTACTGCAGCAATGTCTTCTGTGCTGTCATCTTCCATACCTCCACACTGAGATGGAAATGATTGCCAATATACGAGAGAAAAGCCATACACAGCTTTGTGAAACAGAAAGAGATGGAAGAGAAGGAGTCACTGCACTTTTGTACCCAGGAATGACCTTTGGGAGTACAACTCCTTTTCACCGCACAGAGCAGGTCAGTAGCCCTGGGCCTGGCACAAACAGCATGTGCCAAAAGGCACCACTGTGATTGCTGCTTTGTACAAGTGGAACATGATAAAGTAAAGGTTGAAAACTGAGGTTGAAATTTTAAGACTGGTATATAAACTTAGCTGCTGAACTAAGATGGCATGGTTAAAAAAAAACAAACAAAAAACCCAACCAAAACAACCCAACAGTGGTGCCAGACATAAAGTGCACAATTTTCTCAAGACACGAAAAGGACTAAAACAGACTCATTCTCATAGAAAAGGTGGGAGCATCATGGGCTCATACTGAGAGCTGGCAAAGGCCTCAATACTATAACAGTTCTTGACATACTGCCTAAGTCACCTAATGGCAGCTCTCCAGTTACTCCACTGAAATTTTGTTGGCATCCTACTATCAAGAATTCTGAATGTCAAATATTTAGCTCAAGGTCTCTTATCTTCTCATTTCCAGAGTAATAACGTTTCTGATCAAAACCATTTGTTCTATTCAGCCAAGTCTTGCAGCATCTACTTCCCATAACTGTTTGGGTTTTGGTCTATACTATACCAAACTACACACGATCTTAAAAGAACAGAAGATAGCAATGCTTTGCTATTAATAACTGAATTTTGTACTCATGTTGCTCCATCCCTTCTGGACTGTGCACCCACTGGAATCTATTCCTTTACATAGTTCCTTCTCGTCATACGGACAGTCAAGAGAGACTATTGCTCTTGCAGTTGCTTTAAAACAAGGAGAAAAAAATTCTAGTTTAAAGTGAAATTGTCTAACAAAAAGAAGGGTTTACAATTCTATTTTTAATTAAGTGAACTATATTTAATTTGAAGTTGCCTGTGAGCTGGAAGCAACACAGATCGCCCGTCAGTTTAGCCACTTCTTGGAACAGCACAGGAGCACATACAAAGCATAGGCAGCATTAATGAGGAGAGAGGGCTGGGAGACAAGGATTTACCAGGACCTTAACTCTCTCTTGTTCCATCTGGTAACCACTCTCGCAGCACACGGCCACAGGCAAAGCACTAAATGCACTCCAGGATTGCTCAGCTCTCCATCAGGTCACTAATACAGAGGTTACCCACATAAGCAAACTTCTCTTCCTTCTGGTCACTATACAGATCCACTGCCTTTATCAAAACAAACTTCTGTAGACAGAAAGACAAGAGGGACAGGTTGTTTCTTAAAAACTGTGAAAAGGCAAATGAGGAACCGACCCAAGACAGAAGGCATGCAGGTGTTGCTAAGAAGGACAGGCCACAGACGTTGGGTTTTCTCTCACTGTAGACATCAGTGTCCATCTATGAAACAACAAGCAGGCTTGTGGAGATTCAACTGCTCAAATATACAGAGAAATAAACCACAGGGGTAAGGAGCCACACCTACAGATGTGTGGCTGAGTCCCTCAGTAGATCCACTTTGTAGTTAGTGCAGGTGAACCTCCTCGTGCATGTAAAGCACTGGCACAATTCCCTTGGGACTTTTCCTTTGTGGTGAGCCCCAAGGAAGGAAGGGTGTCCAAATGGGAGAAGTAAGGGGCAGCTTCTGCTCTGCCACAGAAGCCCAGCATAGCCTTGGACAGAGTGACCTGATCCCACCTTCCTGAGAGGCATTTCAAACTTCTGATCCCCACTGATGTGCATGCCACTGAGATCTTTGAGGGTCTTTGTACCTCAGCTTTAGTCTTCTGTTTCTGCATGATCATGAGGCATCAAATGCTGCTGCAGCAGTGCAGAAGGCACATAGATACCTATAGCAGTACAGATGATCTTCGGTAACAGTAACCTGAACAAAAGTTTTCCTAGAGCTCTACACCCATAAATATTTCCTAGCTCACCAGATGGGTTTCTGCCTTTTTTTCTGAGATAAACTCCATACATTTTTGACCCTAGCAGCACCTACTCAGACTATTAAAGTGACTTTAAGAATTATTGCAATTACATCAGTCTTGTATCAGTCTGAGAGGGTCTGTTTGCAGTACAAGGTGCATTAGGCTGTAGTCACCAGCACAGAGCACTGCAATAGAGCAGGAATTCAGGACTGCAACTCCAAGGCTACCTTGACACCACATAAGTGGATGTTGCACTAGACATGAGGAAAAAAATCCCTATTCCCACTAATAGCCCTTTAGCTAGAACGTATAATCTCAAGTACTTAGATAGTCATCTATCCTTTATCTCCAACAAAAACCCCACTCTTTCCTATTTGCCTCTTTTATGTTTGAACCTACTATTTTCTCCAGGTATTTTTTTACCTTGTCATAATCCATTAACTTCATGTGCTTTGATCTTTCCATAGGGAATTTATTTTTTCTCTTCAAAGATCTTTTCTAGTCAGAGGATATTTTTCCCAGTCCATAGCTTGTGTTCTGTTCACATGTCACAGCATGACTGGGTTTTTTTTCTGCTTTTTTCTTTTTATTTTTTTTAATTTGTTAGCATTTAGGAAATCAAATTTCGAATCAGAAGCAAGCCAGCAAACTTTATTCCTAATGGCACAAGATATGGCTCTGATGAGAAATCTAAAAGACACATATTGTGCACACACTGCTGGAGCAAATTTGCTCCACAAAAGGGTTTGTGAGGCAGAGTAGTCCAATAGAGCAGAGATATTCAAAGGTAGTCAGTTAGTCATAGATCAAGGGTGAGGAAAGAGGCAAAAAAGAAAGAGCAAGGCAGAGATGGTTATGATTTACCACAGTAACCCACTTTACATGCACCTCACCGGACCAGTACATCTTTCGTTCCACCAGGGTCACGTCATTAAACCATGTTGCTCCCCTGTTTCTCTCACCACTTAACTGGTACTTAATGCCATCTGTATCACCAAACACCAGCAGGTTTGCAGGTGAAAATGAATAACACAAGCCACCAGCCTGGAGCCACTTTCCCAGCCCAACACTGGGTAAGGGCTCTTTCTTACAGTCTATTTTTTCACCCAGTACTTTGACAGAAAAAACATTCAAGAAGAGGACCAGAGTCTTAATTTCTTTTAAAATATCAGTTTCTGGAGCATTGTGATGGAGACGCAGTCCCACACTAACTCAATTCGGTGAGATAATTTTGGAGTATATCAGCAAAGGGAAGACATTCATTAAAGCTCTGAGACAATCATAAGCATGCAAGAGAACTACATAAATCATTTTTACTCATTTATGCTACTGAATATAAACCAGGATGCTCTATCTTCTCTCTTAATTCCCATTAACAGTTGTTAATTCTGAAGGAAAAAAAAAATCCATTAAATATATGCTATACAGCTATATTTGCCTTAGTTCTCCAAGATTTTAATTCTTCTTTGGTTCAGTTGTCAATATTTACTCAGTGTAAATCTGTGCAGTGCTGAGGTTGCCAGTATTCCAAGAATCATTTTGCTTTACTTAACTGTGTATTACAGATTTGGGACAAAGAGGAAAGAGAAAGCTGCTGGATGCATCCTCTTCTACCTAGCGTGGTGTTATACAGTCCATGACCTTCAGCTTTCATGAACAGGTCTAGTTCCTGTGCAGTCAACACACTGTCCTTCTATGAAATGTATTCTCAATTTCTCTGATGCTATAGACACATGACTTAAAACAGTTGTTAACTGGTTTGTTGCCATTAAACTTGCTGTGAAGGATACCTCCTAACAGAAAGGATGAGCACCAACAACACGTCCTCTGTAAAGCAAAGTAAGACTGACAAGAAACAAGTCCTCTTCAAACTGGGACAAGAGCCACCCCGATGGCCTGGAGACAAGACCCCAAAGACAAGATGCTGGGTTCCAACATTTGAATTTGTCAAACAGCTTCTCCATTTTGGATAGTCTGAACAATAAACAAAACAAATTGCCTATCCCAAAACAACCCATCTAATGCACACATATGCAAAAAATATCAGTCTCTCAGGGCTCTATTTCCAAAGACAGAGCAAAACATCAAGTTTTCAAATAGAACATGCTTTGCATCATAATGCTCATATGCAGAACAGCTCTTGCACAGCATCATGGAAACTTCTAAACTGAGCCTTCTCTATACACATTTGCACAGGGCAACTGTCATTGGAAACATCAGCAATTTGAAAAAAAAATCTGCATGCTCCTAGGCAGAGGTGTTTGTTCCTGTGCTGAGTATCTTCTCACCTAAAAATCTCACACTTCTTGTGGAGTATTAATATCTTCTATTCCAATCCTTCTAAGGTTAACTTACTTGTCCTTTTGATCTCTGAGTTAAGCCTCCTGAGCATTTATCTGACTACACCCAAGAGCAAGTTCTATATAAAATCTGTGTTGTACTTGGAAATACAAAACACATTACATTCTGGGAAAGTAAAGGCTCCTCAAGAAGAACCTGTCTTGGTCATGGCAGTAACCATAAGAAATTCCCAGTTCCAAACACCCTCCATTACTTTAGTGATTGACTAAACAAAGTCCTTGAATCTTTTTTTTTTCTTCTTCCCTGTGTTCCACTTTGCAGACAGAAGGACAGAGATAGCTCTGATTTCTTTCTCTGTGCAATAGAGGCAATGTGATGTCTGTTGTAACAACGGGTTGAACATCCCAGTTTGTCCTCGTGTCCTCTTCATTCTGTCTCTCTGTAGCTGCTACAGGGTTCATGTACAAACAAGGGTTAGCGGTAGAAGCAATGGTATCGCCCAGGGAATAGTTCCTGCACAGGGACATTTATCTTGTTGCTCCATTTTTAGCAGAACAGAGATCTTACTTCTCTTTGCTGCACTCCCAGTGTACACGTTCAGTACAGAGACAGTCAGCCTTTGTCCAAAAAGCTCTTTAACTGGAAAGGATGGTTTAACATGACCACTCCTCTACCTCTGCATGTACATAGCAAGAATATCTAGAGTCCTAGTAGCTAATTAAAGGAGTTTGAGAAAGAAAGCTTTGCTTAAAATTTCAAGTCTCTATTACAAGCTAGTATTGTGCTGTTTGCTAGGTCTGTTGAGAGGTCACACCACCTCTCATATGCCTGGTACAAGCGCTGAGGCACCCAGGATGCTGTCGTGTGAGATGTGAGGGTAGAGTAAAAAAAGCCTTCTCCATCCTGACAATTCTCAGTTTTCTGTACTTCTCCTGAAAGAAGGATTTACAAGTTTGGAGCTTGGCGGAACAGAAAAAAAGAGTTCCATAAGAATGAGTCAAGGCCCTCACCTTAATTTCTCACATATTCTAAATTAATTTTCTTCTGACCTCAGCCTACAACCAGTCTTTTCTGTTATGAAAGAATGAGCCAAATTTGTCGACTTTATTCTTTCAAAGAGACAGCCAAGAAGAATAAATGCAGATTAATCTACTTTGGCCAAATTAAAGGAAATTGTAGCTCACAGCAGAGGAATTCCCTTTGTTTGTTTGACAACACAAGGGAATTACTGCAGTGCTGTCTCCTGTCACCACTGACAGGCTGTCTGATATGTTTCTGTTGCTAGAGTTCCAAAACGCATGTTACTGTCAGATTCAAGGGAAGGCCATTTCCCCAGGGAGTTAGGCTAGGAGCCCTCTCTCACTGGGAGCTGTAAGTGATGCTTGCTGGTTGATGAATCTGTAATCAACATGTAATCAAGCCACCTCAGGACGGGAAAACTCTCAAATACAAGTCACATTCAGCAGGGAAATGGCAGGAGCAGGCAGGTTTTGAGATAGACCATCTGCAGGTTAACAAGGGACCACAGTGAAAACAACAGAGCTGTATTCAGTGAGTGAGTCACTGCCTGAGACACCTGGCTGAGAGACTGTTCTGTGACTGTGCTGTCAGGAGAGGGAATGCTGGCTCAGTGCAGCAGCCTGCAAGTGTAAACACCTATATTTGCCTCCTCTATACCCTCACCAAGTTGCTACCTCCTGTCTGCTGCTCACAATACCTCCCTACCACCCTTCAAATAAGAAGACTTTCTCATTTTTTATCCTAAATCCTAGATGATAATTTTTTTAAATAGAGGAAGCAATCTTTATCAAGTACCTTCCTTCATTATTTACATGCAAAATCCCACCAGCAACCTGCACAGTCAGGTTCAAAGCAAAACAAAGGTAACAGAAACAAACATAAGCCTTTGTGAAAAATCCTTTGACTAAGGCAGTTTTGCAAATGGTTACATATATCCAAACACTGAAGCACAACTACTCTGGTCCAGTTTATGGAAACAGCTGCCTTTATTGTAAGTAGACAAGCAGTGCTAGAACAAACATAGAGACAAGCACCATCACCAAACTACCAAAAAAAAAAAAAAAAAAAGCAAAGCTTTAAATTAAATGAACTTTTAGCTAGTCACTGGTTAGGTTTTGTTAAATGTTTAATGTTTTATAATATTTGGGGATTTTTTCAGGTTCACTCAGGAGAGTAAGTAATGCTTAATTCACTGGGAGTTAGTTACCTTCTGAACTAATTTCTGCTACTTTCTTTTATTGTTTCCCTTCAAGTTATGCAATGCTACTGCAGCATCTCAAAGTGAAAGTACCTTGTACAGAACGATTTAGCTCTGAGCTGAGCCTGATCCACAGTCAGTAGCCATGTTGCCTCTGGGGATTTTGGATTTAGCTTCTTAAACAGCTATGACCTCTGGGACTCCTTTTCCCTTTGCTAGGTAGCACTTAAACTTCTAGAGAACTTCAATATCAGCAACCATTCAGTGCAATCAAACATAAGGTTTCTGGAGTTCTTTCACTTGCTACAAGAACTACAGAGTCCTCCAAGATTACAGCAAGTTACTCAGAAATCTTGCTACCCCTCGTTCACTGACAGCACACAGGAACGAGGTTATTTTTGAGAAGAACTCTGCTCTTCTCTCTGGGTTCATTGCTTCCTTCTCCAAGGTGCAGACCCTCTCTTGATTCTTACATACAGACACACACACTCTATCTGACTTGTTAAGGTCTTTCCTCTGCCCAAATATATAGTGTTTGATTCTGTAATTGTTATTTTTTAGTCAAAGTGCCTTCTTTCTGCATGGCAAGTTTCACCATCCAGACTGCTCATGAAACAGGAGGGGCTGGGACAGGCGGCTCGGGACTGAACACAGTCTTTATTTCTAAAACTGTGGTGCTGAAGGAGCTCTTCAGCAAACAGCTATCTGGGAGTCAGCAACAAGAAAAACACCGACTCGCATAGTTCATAACTGTCTTTGCCAGGTGGGGGTTAAACAAGAAAAGCACCTGTCAGCTGTGAGTTCTGTTAGGAGATCATTTTACTTCTAAAACATCTCAGTCTCTGCACAGAACTTAATCAAATCTGCTCATTCTCCCCTAGAGTCAACTGCATAGAACTGATTGTCACTACAAGGACAATGAACATGCTGGTGGAAAGGTCTTTGCTTTAACATTGCTGCTGAAGCCAAACATCAGTTATGAAGATGAAAGACAGAAGGCTGTGTTGCTTCATGTTGATGAAGCAATTGAGACTGACATGAAAAATGTGGTCAGTGGCAACATGCCAAGACACATGGGGCATATTCTGCCTCTTCATTCCCTTCTTCCAGTCCTCCTAAAATGTTCAACGCAAAGAAAAAAGCAGCAAGGGTGTTAAGTGACTTGGAATATTTTTGTATTTATATCATCTAGTAAACGAAATTGCTGAAAAATGTCACACTGTGATCTTCATGTATGTGTGGGAGAAAACATCTCAGCTGTCAGGGAATGACTGTACAGCTCCCTGCTGGAAAGAAGAAGTCAAACGTTTCACAAACAGATTTTTATAGCCTGGTGGGATCTCTGCTAAACACTTGGGATATCCAGACTTGATTGCTTCCAGGAAGATATCTGCTGATTCATCCTGGCAGTACCCACTCTCAAGCTGAGCTCTCCCCAGATCCCAATCAGCAGAAAGTCTTTCAACCACAGTGCTGACACCAGCTCAGAGAATTCTGCCTTGAAATTCTTGGTAAGCTGGTGGGCTATAAGTCATCATCAAATCTCAGTCAGCTTTTGAAGTGTAGGAAACAACTCGATACCCAGAACTTTCTGGAAGGGCTGTTCTGTCACTCAGTGCACTTGTGATGTTTTTGCTGCTGTTGATTAAAGCTCTTCATTCCTTTGCTTCCCTTCCCCTTTCCCCACCTGAACTGCCACCATGGGTAACAGGTACTGGGTGCAGGTACTCTCTCTGTGCATACACTGGAAATGGATACTACTGGAGACACATGAAGGGAAGAGAAGGGGGAACTGTTCTCTATCAGAGCTATCAGCAAACATAGCTGGAGTTCAGGAAGACTTCCCACAGATCAACCTAAAAGAGTGAGGGACAGAGAAGGAGAGAGAGGGCATGAGAGAGTTTCGCCTCTTTCTTTCAATGTGGTTCAGGATGTCTGAGAGCAATAAGAAATGTACAGGCTTAGAATTCCCCTGTAAACTCCAAAATAATCTCAAGAACACCCATACAATACTCCGTGCCGACAGCTGGTGGGTAAGAGCAGATCAGGTTTGTTCTTTCAAGCAGCAGTGCCCTTTGCCTTACTGCAGCACACTGTAATTAAGGCCTTGCGTAGGGCCAGATTCACTAGCATGATAAAGAGGAGTTATTTTTGTATGTGAATTCAAATGAACAAATGCAATTTCTAACCATTAACCTCTTGAAGTAGATAACAAGTGGGTTTAGGGATAATTACTGATTTTCATAGTTTCTAGGAAAGCTTTATCAGGACCCTTATGTTTCTAAAACACTGACACATCGCACGATCCAGGCCGTTGGTGTCTAAAAAGGCAATGAGTGCATTACAACATGCCCCATATCCCAGAGCCAGCTCCCCTGCCTTTCTGTGTGTGCAGAGAAGATACCGAGAAGCCTAGGGAGCCAGTTCCCAAGTCCTTTCCTTCACTGGTGCACACTTGCTCTTACATAGGCAACCACATTTCAGTGGAGCTAAGGACTTTGGGTGGATCGCTCATTTTGCAGGTTCAGAGATTGATTCCAGCAAGAACTGGAGTTTGCACGGCCCACTGGGAAAACTTGCTCCTCACCTCTCCTCCAGAGGTACATGAAATCTAGTATGAGGAAGGAGATGTGGAGAGGCAGGGAAGATGCTGAGCTTAGGATCCATTCTGCTTCTGACAGCCCAGAAACAAGAGGAACCTGTTACCAGCATGGATATAGGGAGCCTACTCTGCTGAGTGAGCTCCTGCACAGCTCCACAGACCAGGATCCACCTCGGCAGCCATGCCCTGATGCAACACAGTCCTTTGTGCTGATCCAACAGCCACTGTTTCAGTGGATAAACCAGGTATTAAACTCACCATTTCCAGAAGTTACAAACTCAGCTGCAAAAGCCACAGCTCTGTAGCAGTGGGTCACAACTCCTGCCTTGGCCAGCACATCACTCCTTGCTAACCTTGCCTGCTGCAAGCGATTCCTATTCTGTGCTGCACACAACAGTGAGACTTCCTTCTCCTCTGTTATGGACCTGAACACCTTACCTTGATATAGGCATACATAATTTTACTAAAATGATCACTGCACTACTGAGGCAGCATTTACAGGGGAACCGAACAATAGCTTTTTCCAAGCTACCAAGCTCTTGCAAGACATGATGTAGGGAGATGGGAGCTGACACCAAGCTAGAGCAGATGGCATTGAAGATGAAAGATGAGAAAGCTCACTTGCAGGGAACCTGGGTTTTGTTCTCTGTGGGAGGAACATGAACTTTTGCATTTAAGCCAAATTTAATAATGCATTCCAGTGATCTATGTTTTTTTAAGCTCCCACATTTCCTCCCTTCCTGAATGCTATATGTTTTCCCCTTCTATTAGAGGTATTTCTGTGGCATCCACTGCCAACAGGTTGAAAATCAAAATGCTACCAAGTTGTCATGGATGAAACATCAATATCTTGAATGTTTGGGAAAGAGCCAAATGTTAGTTTAATTAGCTTGAACATATTCAATTTGGACTGACCTTTTCAAATAGAATCAAAGAAGCACTGAGGTTGGAAGCAACCTCTGGAGATCATCTAGTGCAACCATCTGTTCAAAGCAGAGCCCATTAGATGAACTTGCTTAGGACATCATCCAGCCAGATTTTTCTGTATCTCCCAAAACAGTCTGCAAAATATTTCTCCTGAACACATGCACTACAGTCCTTAAAGAAGTTATTTCAAACCAAATTTTGCAACTTTATTTCCTACAATGCAAAGAAACCTTTTGATAATTTTGTAACATAACACATTTTCCTCCATCCAGAATAGGAAATAAGAAAAACCTTTTTGCTACAATGACTGCATTTTTAATACTGTTCATTTTTCAAATTTAAATTTCCAATTAAAATTTTAAAAGGTCAATATATAAATTCCCATCTGAATCTTGTGTAAGCATCTTAAAAGAAAATCAGCACCTATCCAGTATCAGGGACTAAGAACAGTTCAGTACCACACTTGCTGCTGTGCATTTCCTCTCTTCAGCTCTTTCACAGACCCTGTAAGGAGTTTTGGAAACTCTATGGACACTTGCTTGCCTACTTAGACTCCAGCACAAGGACACCATTGGATGAAGCAGGACACATCACAGTCTCTGGTGTGTTCCTACCACCCAGCACTTCTGATTCTGTCTCCAGCTACTTGCAAAGGCCATTTCAATTCGGCACAGTAATGACATATTGCATAATACTAAAACCTTCAGTGAAGTTCACAGCACTGACTCCTCATAAATACAAACTGTCAGCTCTCTGGTGCTTCCAAATATGCAGTGATCATATACTGGAAACCATTCCCATACATTTACTGTTTTACATTGGCAGTGCACTGCAAAAGATCAGAAGGTACTTTAAAAAAAAAAAACACAAACAAACCACAACTCCTGCCATAATGTGGCTTTTATCTTCTAAAAGGTGTTCATAGGAAAAACTCTAATTTCTAGAAGAGTTCTCCATTGACCCTGTGATACGGAGTCTGGGTGTAAGTTAAAAACCAGACAAATTAAATTTTTATCTCATTTATTGTGAAATATAAAAATTTTTATGTTTCTCATTAGATTTTTCATCAGAAAAGATCATGGAACTGGATCACATAATTCAGATCATTTGGTCAGGAACTTCCATTCTCATTATTTCACCCAGTACAGAAGCTACAACACAATTGCAACTGACAAAAGACTTACTGGCAAATGTACAGACAGCCCTATTTCAATGAGTTACTTCTTTACACTGAAAAAACATACGGTTGTCATAACTGAGCAGTTAAAAAAAAAAAGCCTTGCAATCATTTGATAGCTCTTCAGTGAATAATGGAAAAGAGTTTAAAGGGCTCAAGCACAGACCTCGGGAAAAAAGAGAACTGCATCACTAAAAAACTCCAGCCCAGTTAATTGCAGGTAATTTCTATGAATAATGACAGCAGAGAACACCGAGTGACGTAGGGGAGAGAATATTCTGAGTCGTAATTGCTTAAAACGAACAGTTCAGTCAATTTGAACTTATTTGGGACAGTCTGTCCTGCCCCTTCCAGAGCACTGTAAACATTTGGCTAAAGCTGCCAAGGAGCATCTTCCATGTGTTCTGCACCCTACAAATGGTGGCAGAAGAGCCGTCCCTGCCTGTTCACACTGGGAACATCCTGTACACACACGTGCACACAAACATGGCTCTGTGGCCTAATTTTTGAGGAATAATTAGTATTTAATTATGTAAATAGCACCTAAAAAGGGGATATGTTCCTTTGGCAGACCAATTCACCTTCTAGTGCAGCCACTTTAAGTGTCCTCCACAGCTGGAACTATCTATGTAAAATGCCTGTAAGTCAACAGGAACAATGCCTGGTGCATGGCAGAACAAATGAGAGCTAATTCACAAGGAAGGGACCACCAAACTAAATATATTTGGGTTTCATCTACCTCACATTAGCCTGTTTTGGAGAACATGTGTACTTGTCACATATAATTCTCAGTTGCTCCCATTCTGAGATTACTTTCTTCACTGAGGTCCTCAAGACACCATTCAGTTTGATCTCTACACTTTCAAACATTCATCACCCAAGCATCCAAAAGATTCACGACCTACTTGGGCCACCCTTATTTCAAATGGCAAGTTGAGTGTATCAGGAATAACACTTCATGGGAGCTTGAAGCATTTATTTTTAAAGCAATACATGAAGATGATCTGTGTCTGCATGATGCCAGAAGAGAGCAAGGCAAGGGAAGCAAACAATGAACAAAACACAAACACCCCTCTGGTAATGTCTCAAAGCAGCAGATTAAAAGCAGCTCCTATTCCCAATGCCCTTACTTCAAGGCTCTTACCTCAAGAGCTGTTAGCCTTAGAACCAGCAAACAAGAGTCCAAATGGAACCATGCTGAAAATTGGGTGCCTTCCCCTTCTCAGCATCCTCTTCTCATGTACACAGCCCTGAGTACAGCCTGATTATTTTCGCTATGAGCTCCATTACGTCCCTTAAACGAGAAGAACAACCCACTCCTTCCTAGCTATGGTTGTGTAAACCAATATTAAAAGACTCTCAAACCCTGGGTCCCTCCGGCTGACTGCAGGGAGGAGGCAGAATGTCAGCACATGTCAATATTGAACTTAGCTTGGCTGGGTCTGAGGCAGGTGCCTGCCACGTGTAAAAGCCCCAGAGCTCCAGTGGACTCAAATCTTCCTGCCACCATGGATTTACAGAGCTCTTGGGAAACATATTTCTAAGGGAACACAGGCACCTACAGCACGGAACAGCTGCACCACTTAGAAAATTTATCCCTCCATTTCATGCTTGTTAGACTTTCCTAGGACATGCACTAGCTGCATGCACTTCTGTAAGCCACTTAAACTCCCTAAAAGCAGTGGATCAGGACTGTGTAGAGTACTGCACTGAGTTGGTTTGTCTCTGCTGATCAGTACAAGAGAAGGGCAGGGAGATTTTGTCAAGTTTTATGAAATTATGCCCACAAAAGCAGGGCTAAGTACTGCTCTACTAACAGCAGGAGACCATAGCCATGACATTCTTCTCTGAGAAACTGAATAGACATTCAATAAGAACAGATTCATTACTATTGCTGGAACCATTTAAATCCCATCCATCCCCTCCAGGATGTACCCCTTGCTGCTCTAAAACAGGCAGAAGGATTTTTTTTTAGGAAGCTCTAACTGCTACCCGAGGAATGAGATACAATTTTGCCCCAGGGAGAGCCAGGTGCTTTGCTTTGCTGCTTGTCTCACAAAAGTTGTACCCTGCAATAGAGCACATTTGTATTGGATTAATGTAATCAAAAGCACCCTGCTGTCTGGTCACTGACCTGTCTGTAAACAACAGATGACATGATGCTGTGAGCTACTATTATATATAATTACCTATTGAGTTGTGACTATTGTAAAAAAAACAAAACCATATACTTCACCTGCTGCTGTTGGTCTGTTTTCCAGGGAGGAACAAATCCTATAAGCACCTCAACTTTGAGCACCATTTTGTTCTCATCTCCTTCACTGCTCTTCACATCTCCTCCAAATAAGTTTGTGTGCTCTTCCTTACACCTGGAACAATTTTCTCAGCTGCACTAGCAAGGTGCAACCCTTCTCCGTTCTTGCTTTAAATCCCTTTTATATCCTTCTCCTGTCATTCAACCTTTTGATGTCACAGTTTCCTCTCTGTGCCTGCACAAAAGTGAAGGTTATCTGTAACCTGAATGTATCTCACCTGCCCTGGACTGTACTCACTGTGATAGAGGCCATAGGGACAGATTCCCACCTGATGTAACTCAGGCAGGTCTGCTGGAGTGATACACAACACAACCATGAATCACAGAAAACATGGTGAATAAGGAACACTTTTCTCTGGTTTCCAACACAAGAGTAGGATCAGAAGGAACCTATTACCTGCCAGCTCCAAACCAACAGGAAGCCGCTTGCACACCCTGTACAGTCCAGTTGTGGAGCTCCTTGCTCCAGGACACTGCAAACCAAGCAACTAAACACCTTACTGAAAGAACAAAACTCATCAGGAGTCATGAAATACAAAGAACTCTCCTCAAGTTCAGACATTGCCAAGCCTTAAATTGTTGGAAACTGGGAAAGTATTCTGGGAATACAACTGCATACCCACTGTACTCTTCCCTGAGCACTCCCTGCAAGCTGCTTTAAGGGACAGGACACGGGATAGATGGAGCTGGCATTTGACCCAGTGAAGAAGATCTTTATGAGCAGCAGTTCACACCAGCTGAAGACACCGTACACGTGTCTCACGTGCACGGCTGTACAGGCACACGAGGAGCCCGATACTCTTACAGGTGTAACAGCAGAGTAACCTCTGCAGAGCATTTGGTGCTCACTAGCAACCAGCTCTTATAGTCAGTAAACTACAACTGTTGCTGCTGCTACAAGCTGGTAGCTAACACACACTTATCTCTGTTGTTCATCAGTAGCTCAGAAGCTACTAGGACATGATATTCATGCAGATAGATGTTCAAAGAAAAGTTTTCATTACAGTATAAGGCAATGAAACAGAAGCCGACTGACGCTGCCAATGACAAGCTAGTTATTTGTCTTGGCTTTCTTTTGATTATCAAACTGAAATTCCATATTGCCAAATTAGACAAAAACTGCTTTCCCTTTTTCCTCTAACTTTTGTCAGAAGTCTGATGCAAATCTCCTACAGAAGAAACATGACCGAGTTATATTAGCATCGTCCATTCTGCTTCATTTACAAATGCTATCACAAATACCTATTTACACCAAGATTGAAACATGCACACATTACATTAAACATTACCTCAATTATTGCTTAGTGTCAGAACAGCTTAAATTGTATTGAACTGCAACAGCAAACTCATATTAATCGTTGAAGAACAGCTCACATATAGATAAAAGTATTTGAAGTCATCACCTGGCTCAGCCTAAACACAGCTAGGCAACAGGAGGTTACAATGAACTGGATTTACTAGATAGACTTCAGTGTTTATATAAGGATTCTTCTATTACATAGAAATTTTTTTTACTTCCAAGGAGTTCCTTGCTTTGGAAATACTTTGGGCATCACGGACAAAAGCTTATTATCTGAGATATTATACAGGAAATAGCATTAAAGAAAAAAGCCAACATTTCAGAATATGTGATTGTAGACTTTATTTTGAAAATGCTTCATGAAAAACAGTTGGTCATTGGAAATATTTTAAAAGTAATTTAATCACAGACTGCCAAGACTGCACTCCTCACCTTCTTTGCATCAACCAAGCTCCAGTTCTTCAAAGATCACCCAATACCAGCACAAATGACTGGTTTAGACATCTTCTCTGGCTGTCCCTTAAGAGTCACTGAGAATGAATTGAGACAATAGTAAAATGATGCATTTAGCTGCCTGAATCCTTTTGTGAGTGAAGAGGGGTCTGATCAATTCCTACTTACCTCAGCACACTTCTGGTTTCAGAATTGACTTTGGGGGTTTCATCACTGCCTACCATAGAACGTTAATGCTTTCGTTAATGCTAAATGTAAAGACTTGGAAGAGCTATTCGGAGAGATGCAAACAAGAAGGAACATATTACTATCAACCACTGCTGACAGGAAGCCATTGGTACTGGAGATGCTGAGGCTGAACTTATCAGATAGCCAGCATTTGAGAGAACATTTCATTGAACAGTGAAAGCAGACAGGACCCATTTGCTGTGGAGCAGCACCTCCGAGTGTGACTCACGCTATTGAACAATCCTGACTTGAACCTGTTGAGGATCTTGGCCCAGCGTTTCCTTTTCAGTATTAATCCGAGCTGGAAACGTGTCAATAAACCTCTCCGCTGCTGCCTGGCAGCTGGCTAAGCAGCAGTGCGAGCCCTCTGAGCGCTCGCCGGTCACCAGCAGCAGCAGCAGGCACGCCAGACCCGGCTGGTGCTGCCGCCGAGCCCCCGCCCTGCGAGCCCTTCCCAGCGCCCGCACCCTCCTCACGGTGCCGGCCGCGGGGCTCCGGCAGCTCCCCACCTTCCATCCCTGTGCCCATCCCCTCACCCCACCCCGCCGCACACCCCGACGCGGACCGACGCCCTGCGGAAGCAACAGGGCAGCTCCCCGTCCCTCCGAGCCCCGGGCCAGGGGCCGGTCCCGGCGGGGCGGGCGCGGCCCCCGGTACTCACATGGCGAGGGGCCGAGCGGGGTCTGCTGCCTCCCTCTCCAGCAAAGATGGCTTTCCGGCTCCGCGCCTGCTGCCAACGCTCTCCTACTGTTGTAGGCACTGTTGCTGAGATAGGAGGGGTAGGCACCGGCTACTGAGCATGCCTGCGCCTTATCACAGGGTAGGAAATAGAGGCAAGGCACGGAGGTACCCCCTCCCCACCCTCACGCCAGCCAGGAGAAAGTCCTGGAGTGACGAACGCGAACGGAGCCTCCAGCTCCTGCCACATCCCGCCTCCTCCCCGTGCGGAGCAGGCAGCGTCTGGCTGGGTGTGGTCACCGGAGCGGGGCTCAGTCCAGCCAGGACGCCTGGGGGGATTTCGGTGAAAACGTTTGTGTCTTTCTGCAACCACCTTCTGTCTCCCTCTCTTTTCTAGAAAGAAAGGGCGGGGGAGGGAAGAGAGCGAGAGAGGGAAAAAAAAAAAGGAAGAGAAGCACAAAAGGTATTGCTGTTCAATCCATGCTGTCATGGGTGAGTACTCGTGAATGAAAAAAGGCAAGCTGTCAGGATTATAATGCCTACCCACAACACAGAGCAAACCCAGAGACAGAGAAGCTACTGGATCAGCCACTGATTGTGAAATGGTTGTGTCTCAGATGAAGTACAGCAGTTGCCGAGTCTCTGTGCTCCTGGCTTTAAGTTCACCTCACACTCAACCTAAGCCCAGGCATCCAATCTCACCCTTGAAACTCCTTCATTACCATCAGCACTTCCCTTGCATGTCCCACACCCTTGTACAGCACAAAACTTCTTCTGAAGCAGAACGTGCTCCTTTACATTCAAACCAAAGCCATTGTATAGTCTAAACAGAGGTCAAGGAAGAAGACAGGTTTTCAAGAAGTGGCACTTAACATCATTGTCCCCAGTGATAACTTCCTCCATTTTGCTTGTAAAAAGATACCTTACCTGTCACTGCCTTTCCATCAATGTCAGTGACAGATAGCACAAGCTGTTAAACCCAGGTATCTGGGTAAGGCAAGGGCTTACCCAGAACACAGAGAAGCTTTTGTAAGTAAGACCTCAGATTTCGAAGTGCCTTTTGGAGATAAAGTACAAGTGTCATCAGATAAAATCTGTGTTTTTTGATGCGGGAGTCAAAGAAAAGGTGAATTGTTCCTCAAAGTAACAGGCAAAGGCACAGGTACTAGGGATGAGGAACGCATCAGTCCCAATTTCTAAACTTTGTATCAATCAGTTGAATATTTTCATGGAGAAAGTAACCAAGGAATGTGACAACACCCACAGTGGTGGTACACAGCCCAGACCTTAGGACACTCAGCTATTGCCTAAATCCAGGTTCAGATGCTGTCACAGCCTCAGATGCAAGCCCTTGGCTGTCAGCTCTGAAGGGGATCCAAACCTTTGGGGGAATGGTGGAACTCTTCAGAGCGACTTAGTCACAGGAACCTCTCTCCCCTCTCCCTCTGCTGCCTGAGAGCTTCCTCACGGCATTAAAGACTCATCATACCTGCGGCCACTGCAGGGTGAGTTTGTCTCTTCTAATGAAGGTAATCATTTGCATGAATGAATAAATGTCACTTTGAGCCTTAGTTGTCTACATTTGACCACATCACTAAGGGCATGCTCACATGTTGCAGTCATAATAGCCTGGCCCTGAGAAGCTTTTTCTGATGGAAGTAAAAAAAAAAAAAAAATCAAAGTGGATTTTCTCTATGTAAAGATGGAGTTTCAACCAATTGATATGCCCTGACAACAGTCAAAAGATTCATGACAAGCTTTAAGCTTTATCCATCCACAGATTATTTAGCTCAGCACTTCTCATCTGGTATTCCTCCACAATCTTTCCTCACGAGGATGGTTTACTTTTCAGATATCCTAGACAAAGATACATTTATCTGATACCCCTGTAGCACACAGCCACACCAACACCCACACATAGGCATACACTGAGTACAGGTACCACCTGCTACCAGTCTTCAAACCCAAACCACACTCACATACTGAGGAAGTGAAAAGTCATGCAAGGCTGTGAGGCCAGGAGCCTCTGGGACAGAAGGACCTACTATCTAGACCTTCCTGCCCCTTCTGTGCTATCACTTCATGTTGTTATGTGGAGGGTGGAACAAGTATCGATGCCAGACCAAAGCTCAAAAGACTCAAAAAAAATCCCCTGGAAGACTCCAAACCCAACTTATTAAAATGTTTTATTATACAAACTATCCAGAGCACATGATACAGTGTCTATGCTGACTTCATGCCAGCTTTATCCTGATTGAAGGGGAGCAGAAAATACACCCATGAGCATAAAGGTGAAATGGCAGTCAGAAAAATTAAAAATTAATAGAAACGTGTCAGTACAGGAATAATACCTCAAACCTTGTGAAAAGAGTGCAGAATGAGCTGAAGTTGGAACAGTGTACCACAGCATATGGCCACAGCTTTCTCTGATGTGATACAGGAGAGTTCTCAAAACCAAATTAAATAACATCACTGGACTGTGGCTGCTAAAGAAGAATTTCCTACCAGCTAATGAAGGCATCACCACTCCAATCCAAGATCGCGATCCTGAAGAAAATTCACAGCTAAACTGGGGGACATTTTCCTTTAGCCCTACATTTTCTTGAGCTCACAGACTGCCATTAAAGGCTACCAAAGCCTTTGGTGAAAGAAGACATGCAGAGACACCCTGTGGTGGCAAAATAATATGATCAGAATTAGTTCCAACAGCTGAAAATTCATTTAAGACACGCAAGTGGATCAGAAAAGCCGCATCGTGCGGACACCAAGAAATTCTCCCCAAGTTGCTATTCACGTAATTTCCTCTCTCCAGACATCCTTTCCTGTCTGGCATCTTTTACTCTGTGTCTTTGCATGACAGCCCCTGCCACAAAGATTTTACCTCTTATTCTGTTTGGTACTTTTACTCCAGAGGACAACAGCTGAATCACGGCTGCGACAGTTGGAGGGATGGCCATGGAAACGCTCTGCTTTTGGAAGAGAGTTTCCTGCATCTTCAGCCTGCCAGTCTTGGGTAGGGAAAACAATCAGTCTTTTGTAAACTGTTGCTGTTGGTTTTTTTACCCCATTCATAATTCATATTTTGTCCTGAAGTCAAATTTTATCTATGAAGGCAGTTTCAGGCCATCAATATACGGCTCAAGACATCCAGAAATGAAAGCCATCAACAACCAGCATCTGTGCAGATCAGTTTTGGCATCTCAAGTCTTGCAGGTACTACACCTTGCTTATAATGAACTAAAGATAACCTACAGATACAACAATGAGGTTCCTGAAAATGTTGTCCATTGCTGATATATGATCTTCATCTGAAGGAAACATATTTTCTCCCAGATGTGCAAGTACAATCCCCTTTTTAAAGAGTCATTAACAAAACAACTCCATTAGTGCTAGATAAGAAAGGTGAGAACAATTGGTTGGTAGATAGAAAGCAATGGTAGTCAAGTTTCACAAGATTTAAGCAGAGAAGAAAAGTAAAGCAAATAAATCAATTATTCAAATACTGGGTATTCAGATCTGATTTGGCAACACTTTTAAACAGATAGTTAAAGTATAGAAGGATTTTCCCTCACATCATTAGAACTAATTACACTCCCATAGCCAGACAAATTCATCTTTAAAAGAGAAATTAAATACTGTACATGTCCAAAGTATAATTTTTCAAAAATTGTCTAAAAGGCTTAAAGAAAGATCTGAGTATCTTCAGTGCTTTGTTACCAATTTTTACATGTTTATTTTCGATGTTACATTTTCTTCTCTTGATCTTTTAGACAAGTCATATCAGTACTGAAAGACCCTTCAGTGAGAAGCCTTTGAAGCTCCCTTCTCAGAAGCAAGGTAGATGTCTCCCTCCCCAGTTGCTGATTTTATTAGACACAGACTGTTCTGTTCTGCAGAGCTTCACCTCAGCACCACTGTATGCCTAAAATGGGTCTTGAATTTGCAGATTATTTTGTCACCAATTAAACCCCAAAGTCTGTAATTGTGAGGTGTGTAAATTTTCTTTCATTCACAACTTCTATTCCTTCACATCTTAGTAATACTTTAGTGACAGTTTCCTTTTACAGGTCAGTGAACTGTTTGTAATTCCTTTCATAAATGGTCTTTTCTGCCATTTCTGTGGGATATACAAGTCCGACTTACCTGGGTTCTGTTAAAACACTGGGTCTCTCATGACCAAGCCTGAGTAGCAAGGTGTGTCACTCTATGTTCCTTCAAGGAATTTACAGTTTCTTGTTAATGTGTATTACCATGTAATTTTGGTAAATGATTATAACACAACTTAAAACTGTTTCAAGGTGTGATCCTGCAAAGCATTTGTGCAGTGAGTCTCAGTCGCTCTTGCCTGTGTGTGTCCTAAGGTATGAACTGGTTATGGAGAACTGTACTTAAAAGGCTGGGAGAGACTGAGGGGAGAGCAGCATACAAGGAGAGAAAAGATGAAGAGTAAAAGCAGAAAAGTTCAAAATGATTGTCAATTTTGTTTTTAAGCCCAAAAACTTTGTGTGATTTTGTACAGAAGATTTGTGGAAAATATTTTTAACAGGCAGGAACAAGACAATAGACATAGGAGGGGGTGAACATGACCCTCCAAGTCAAGCAACCAAAAGTTAATGAAATTACCAAGTATCAAATGTAGCACAGAGAGACTAATTCAATCAGAGAGGCCAAAGGGATAATTCTTGGAGACAAAGCATCACAACGCGGAAATGCAGCCTAATCAACTGCTTTATCAAAAGAAAAAGGAAACAATTTCCAATCCTTAACTAAAATCCCCAGTTGGTTCTTCATCTTTTCAGGGTTCTGGTTTTTGCTTTGCAGTGTTTGTTCCATCTCACATTTGTTTCACTGCTTCTGTTCTCTGCACAAAGCTGTTTCACTGGCTCCTGGCTCTTCGCTTCTATCAAACGAGCCGCCTCTGCTCTTGGTTTAAGCAACCAGCTTCATCATGAAGGAGAGCATGTAGAGGGAAATATTCATTATGTTTAATGTCCAAGCCTACTTTCCATAATTACGTGGAATAGAGCAAGAATACCCAGAGTCACCTTGTGTCTGCAGGATTTTTCAGAGCAGGTATTTGCTTCATCTGATGGAAAGCAGCTGCTCCCTGATCTCAACTGAACCTCCGGTGTAACCAGGACCCTTTGCAGGTAGAGTAACACATCCAGACTTCGCCAGGTACAACAAGCAAGGGAGAGGCTTTCGAAAAGCTACTCAGACTTCTGTTTTCATCTAAGCAAGTGGTGTTGTTATGACAGATAAAATGAGCTGGCACAAAGAAAAGAGGGACCTCATGGAAGGAAGCGCAGGAGATGGGAAGCACAGCCGAAAAAAGCGAGAGCGGCTATTTAAGAAGAGATTTTCTGGACTGAGCCTTTTCTCTGGGTCTCCTAAGAATAAATTGTAAGTACATCCTAGATTATATTTTGTAAACATTTTTAACCAAGAAATTTTGTAAGTATTTCCAGAGCAGCTCTGGAAGAGCCACACAGACACTTTTGTTAGCTCTGCCGTATTAACTGTTTCACAAACAAGGAAACAGTTATGGACTAATTAAACAACTTGACCTAAAAACTAGGAAGTCACTGGCAGAAGTAGACACAAAATGAATGTCTCCAAACCTTGTGTGTCTGTGTGTTCCTCTTATAACCATTTCCCAATGCTTCCAGTGAGAGATTCAGAGAGGCAGCATCTCTGTTCCTCCAGATACACACTAGCACCGCCAGCCCGACAACCCAGGACACTGGTCTGGGAGTAACATTGCTGCAGTTTTTGTTGCACTGACAGCTGTAACTCCAGGGTGTAATGGGCAATGTATGGGCAGCAGCAAAAATCACTGTCCAACAAAGTCAGTGCTACTAAGTTTCTTGAATCAGAGCATAATTATTGCTTGTGTTCCTACAATCGTACCTTTATACTTACTACTGTTCAGTTAGAAGGAGAAAAGGAAAAACAAAACAAAAAGACAAGCAACGCAAAACTATTCCTTTTTCAACAAAAGTAAGCAAAGGGAAAAGTGAGTTTGAGCTTACTGCTTTGTGCATGTATTAGTTTTGAGACATTATAATCATCCATATGGGGTTTGAAATTCTCTTTTTGGGTCTTTCTACTTGATATTATTCATATTATTCTTCCTTAACACAAATTAAACTGAGTGTATGCATCATGCTAAGATCAAGAGGGGTTTCCAAAAATTGTTTTTTCTCATTCAAGACCTGCATTCCCTACAGATCTCCTACAAAGAGTCTGTCTTTGATAATTATCATGAAATTACCGTCTTAGGAGGAAGTGCACGCAAGTCTCCACAATTACTCAGCTAACTACATTAAGCTTGATAGCCACAGCAGCTGGTTACAGGCTCGACATAAGATTAAAATACACTAGCCAGAAATGAACCTGAGAGCCACATTTTTCTCTCAGACTGATCTAATTGCAGCACAGCTAATACCAAGGGCTTGGCTTTGGGATTTATCTTGCTGCACTGCTAAGGAACTGGACTAGAAACATAGTCAAACATCCAAGAAGTGAATTACATCTGTGAGTATTCTCTGTTATTCATAATTTCACTGAAGCGTGCGTTAGGGGGGCAGACAAATGCAAAGCAGTAAAACCATGTTTTCCAGACATTGATCCTTCTGTGTCAGTGATAAATACGGACTTCCCCAGTTTGAAAAAAAAAAAAAAGAAATTCAACAGGAATGTAGGAACCTCCTCCCGTGGTGCTCTCACATTAATGGAAAGAGTCAGTCTTCAGACCTTACTGGAGATATTTCTACAGACACATTACATGGCGGTAGTTTTTAAACATTCAAGCCACAAGGGCCTACAGAACTCCCACAGTGGTACAGCCAAATCACATCATTTCTACAGTTCAGCACTGATTTGTGAGCTCTCGTAAGGGATTACGTAGGTTAGCTGCTTGATTTTGAAGCACTGTTTTATATAAAATACAATGGTATATAATTTGATCAAGAGACCTTTTCTTTCAGCTCTTCCATCTCTGTTCAAGGTCAGTGCAATATAGGGCTTATCTACTGGCCAGCATTAGTGTGCACTGTTAGTGCACACAAGTGGGAAAAGAACCTTTATGATGGTATGGGGGAGGCCTATTAGGTCAGATGCCAGTAATTCAGATACACAGAGCTGTATGGAGTTTGTCTTCATGCAAACACACGAGACTTGTGCCACAATCACCCACAGAAAAGCTGCATATTAAAGATCCTACCTAGCTAGCTGGCATCACTGGTTTATGGTTTTGTTTAAATGATGGAAATCCTTTAATCATTCTGTGTTCTAAAATTAATGGTTTGTCCTGCCATCACAGCCAGACTCCCCTTTTTCTGTCCATTCCTGCTTTCTGCAGGTGACCACACGTTGCACCTGCTCCTGGTGTGTCACAGGTATAGCCTGTGGAAGGGTTCATAAATCACACACTAATTGCTTCTGCTGCCCTAGGAAGTGCACAGGCTGAACTTGTCACCTCTCTTTGTGACTGTTGTAGCCCTCAGGGAAGAAGTCAGCTTTTTGAAGACAAGAGGAGATGTTTACACAGGAAAGGCTCCAAGAAGCTGAAGCCAGCACGGGAGGAAATCTGTTCTTTGAGGCAGCCACACTCCGGGAAAATGTGTCCGAAATGCGAGATCCTCACCTGCCGGAAGTGCGAGACCCTGCACTCGGAGAGTGGCTTCATTGCCCACAGCCTGCTCGACCACTATGACAGGGGAGGAGCCACAGCCCACCTGTGACTGCAGAGGGGTGATTAAAGATCTGATGTGGGTACCCTGCCAGTACCCAACCACATCCCAAATGCTAAAGCTTGGATCCCTCAGGCTCACTGGGTCTCCGGCCTGTGCAGCATCAGCAATTCCAGCCATACTGTAGCTCATACTATACACAGCAGATGCACAGGCAGTAATTCAACCAGCATGCACCCTGCAAGCAAAGATCTGTAAGCTAAAAGTTTCTCAGCTACTAAGGACAAGGAATTGTTTCAGAAATAATCTCCAGTTTTCTTTGTTCTCTCCAGGAAACAAGATTATCCCACTGAGCTGCAAAGAAGGACGTGACTATTGCATGCAGAACACTGGGTACATTACTCTTACTTGCAATGCCTTGGTATGTTTCAGTATTGTTTGTGGTCTGGAATATTAAACATTTTATTTTTAAATTAACTAACTCGGGTATGCACTTGATGGGGGAAGGGGGCTTTCTAAAGGCCATGAGGATGGCAGATCACATCCAAACACCCTGATAGAATTTCTGACCTCTCACAGGCTTTCAACACCTCTCTTATGATTCAGCATCTTGCCTTAAAAGAAGCAACAAGGATCACAACTCTCAAAGTATTTAAGATTTCTTCAGGTTCTTAAACCCAAAACTATAATTTTTAAGCAAAACTATAATTCTTAAAACTGTGTAGTGCAGCTCCAAATAGGAGCCAAATATGCCAATACACAATGGTAGGGGTGGGTGGCATTAAGGTCCAGGCATACATAAGACTACTTATCTTTTTGGAATTCTTGAGTACAGGTGAAAGGAGGAAGTAGCCTCTGGAATAGGTTATCCCAAGTTTAGCAGCATACATCTTTTCCTCCCATGGCAACTGGCCAACTCTATATTCAGGATGAATTCCTCACTCTTTGGTTGGTAACAGGCTAAACAGACTTAGTGTCCCATAGCCGTTGATATTAAGGGTTCTTTTATTTAGCCAAGCAGATAGAACACAGGCTGGGAAGTCTGGACTTGTTTCATTAATCCTTTTCCTAAGGACTCTCTGTGTCCTTCCTGCTCCCCTTTTGGAGCTGTTCCATTTTTGTTCCAATGAATGTTTGGTAAGGGGACTGGAATCCTGATTTTTTTTTCTATCCCTAGGGAGTACTTTGACTGAGCTATGTCATCCATTCTTGTGTTTTGTTTCCACCTCCTCAGAAAACAATTTCAACAGGAGGAATTCAGAGCCACATATACAACATTCCTGTGCTCCAGAGTATCTTGAACAATACTGCTTAGCTCCCTTTATGGAATATCAAACACTCAATGCTCCTTAGGCAAGAGACCGAGACCATTTCAGAAACTAGACTGAGCTGTCCAAAGCCCAAAGGGCAAAGCCCATTAGGTACCATAGGTAGGAGAAAACCTGAGGCAGGATTTACAAATAGGAATGAACCACTACCAGGAATGAACCCTTCTGCCCAGACTTCACTGGTTCTGTGTCCTTCTAGCAAGTGCCCAGACTTCCTGTCCAAACACAGACTTCTAAAGCCAGAAATTAGATCTTAAGAAGATCCTTGTGCTACAAGGGCCTTAATCCCTCAGAAACCATGTTTCCATGGTGCTTGATTGTAGCTTCCGCTCATTTGCTTCATAAAAGCCAAGCAATGCCTGGCAAACCAGAATTAACCTTTTACGTTTCCCCGTGACTGCTATTCTTAAGCTGTGATCCTTCACAGCTTTCCCAAGAATAAGCCACTCCAGTACTTTAGAAATATCTATTCATCCTCATCCCTCTTCATCAAGCAATCCAGAGGAAACATCTCCAGATAGTCACCTGAGGAAGAGCAAGGTGACAGACTGAAAGGATGAAGGACTAGCTCATCACAGCAGCATTACTTTAAATCTCACAGTCCACTACAGTGAAACCAGTTCCAATAGCTGACATAGTTGAGCTTTTAGCCAAGAGTTCCAGAGGGGATAGTTCTATCAGCATCTGCCTGATGGGATTTCCTTTGTGGCTTGCTGGAGGACACACGGCAAAGCTCCTCATAGGGGCTATTAGTCTGGAAAGGCATCTAAGTAATAGCAATGTGCAAACCCAGCTCATTTTAGGGAGCAACTTTCTCTTCTCCTCACTTCCCCCCCAGTTAACGCTGTTTTCCTGTCCTGTTTGAAGGACAGCTGGTAACATGGTAAATCATTTCTCTGATCAGCACTGCAGAAGCACCACTCTTCTCCTCCATCAGTCATGAAGTCAAGCTTGGGAAGAGCAACTACAACATTTCCATTATGTGCTGAGGTAGCACAAGCTAATATGGCACTTGTTTTCTCAGTAGCTGTTAAATGACTGCACTTTTCCTGGGCTGGCTACCAGAATTTCCTTCAGAGATCTGCCTGGTACTGTGAGACCATGTTTGTTCCTGTCATACACAGGTTTATGTGTGTGGTATTGAGGTCAGGCAATAAAGCCACTACCTTGAGCTTGGCCTGACTTTGATCTCCCCAGCCACGGCACAACGAGGCACATTTGTCTCCAAAAACTCCACAGGCCCCTGCAAACGGTGAAATCCCAGAGCCAGGGAGCTCTGGCACCTCTATGGCTGCACCCACTGACACTCATCCATCAGGACAGCTCCACCCCCTCAGCTCTTATGCCAGACAAGTAATTTTTAAAATTATTTCAAGAAAACTTGCCAAAAACTGGAACATGTTATGTGAGCACAGGCTTTCAGTTTTAGATTTTAAAGCCGGCTCAAGACACATAATTATATTAATACAATATATTGTGAAAGAATTATAATAGAAATACTGATTACACATTTAAAAGATTTAGGCTTGAAATCATTCCTAAATAATAAAGCTATGATCGTACCCTGACATATCAGTTATTAAGAGCCTGTACTCCTTAATTATCTGATTCCAATAGTTTGAGGAAATTTAAGAGGAATATTGGACTCTATTATATTAAATACACAAATGGGCTCCATCAAAGGCATTCACTAGAATGTGACTTTACAATCAACAGACCCCTGCCAACACAACTGATACAAGCATAAAAGGGAAAGGAAGCAACTCCACTGGTGAGGGGCAAATCCATGGGAACTCTTTCCCTGGAAATCCAACACAGGACAAGCAGGAATATAAAAGCAGCAGTTGTCACCATTTGTTCACAAATCAAAAGATTCAAGGTAAAGAAAGCAAACCCATAAAGTACTCATACAATCAAAAGAAAACTAGAATAAATTAATACAATATATACACTGCATATACCCAATTTCAGTTTTGGTTTTTAAAGCAGCCTAGGTAGCTTTCTTCCTCTGCCAGATACAATGAAGGCCTTGAGAAAGAAAAGTAATTTTTTCAGTTGACATGTACAGAGCAGACTAGAAGTAGATCTGGAGAAAAGTAATTACCATAACATGAGACCATCTGAACTGAAGATGTTTGATATCAAAGTTGTACCTTATGTTTCTTTTCTACAGCTGCACAAAGCTATATCCTTTCCAAAGCTTCCACATTTAAAAAGGTGATGTTTCTCCTTACTGTTACAAACATCTTTAACCTCTCATATTATAATCTGACCATTTGATGCCTTCTGAATTCTGTAAATGGTCTAAAATAATATGATCCCACTGAGCCCAAACAGATTTACCATTTCAATAGTGCAGGTGGATATTGGGAGGTAAGTACAGAAATAAGCAATAGATTGATGTGCCAAAATTCCAGTCTTTTCCTCTTGGATGACAAAATGCGAAGGACAGACTGTCTCTTCCAACTTTTCACAAAGCAGTTATTTATTTATTTGTTCGTTTTCTGAATCAAAGTCTGTATACCACAGGCTGTAGCAAATATGATGAAAACCAGAGAAAGTGGTGATCTATTTGCTAATACAATTCAGCAAACCAGTACTCCACTCAGAGCTTAACATGAAGGTATCACAAAATTACCCTCAGTGACCCTATAAACACTGCTTCCTGTCAGGTTCACCCCTGAGACGTCAGCCTGGAAGGCTTTGCTCTGAGATGTGCTATCTTCTCAGCTATTTGAAGACCAAGATCAATTTACATGAGGAAAATGCATTGTCTCTGCTGCCAAACACAAAACCAGACCATTTAACAGGCCTCTAACTTCCTCTCCCCATTCTTACTAATTCATTGCCAAGAGTAAGCATAGCAAAGACAACCAAACACAACACAGCCCGTTCAAGGGCTATTAACCAACACAAATACTGAGCAGAAGTAGTATTTCTTAATAATCTCTAAATACCTTCCTCAAGGAAGATGGTGAGGAAATCCTATTGCTTATCTCAAGTACTTTTATAACCTGCATCAAAAATCACATCCAAAAAAACCTCACAACACAAAATAACTTTATTCTGTGCAATATCCTGGTGGTACTTGAGGGAAGGTGTTCCTGCACCTGGAGGTCAAGGCTCCTGCCTCCAGTTTTGCCAATAGGAGTGAGTCTGAGGCACAGACTTGAATGACTTGTTCCAAGTCCCACAAGAAGGCTGGGGTGGAATACAGAACTGACTTGCCTTTCCAGCTCTGGATATAAGGATGCCATCACGCTCCCTCCTCTCAGACACCACACACACCAAGCACCAAGGTGAACTTGCCAACTTCATCTCAAACTTCTGGGAAAGGTTATGTCTCCCTCAACAAGACAACACAGCAGAGATGTCTGAGTACTCTGTTTCACAGAAAAATACAATGTGTCCCAGAACAGTTACTTATGCAAATTTACATGCTGTGAATTAGCCGAGGATGAAATTACTTTTTTCAGTTATCACCTGCAATGTAGTTTCTTTTTAGCCTTCCTGCCATCTGCTGTAGAATATATATATATATATATATATATATATATATATAAAACCCAGGGGAAATGGCACTTTTAATGCTACTATATTGTATTAAAAAAAAAATCAAACCCAACAAAACCAAACCACAAACCACTTGTTACTTTTACAATATTCTAGAAGCAGAAGATTTTCAGATAGATGAGCCCAAAGGGCGAGGGACAAGAGAATCAAAGCCCTATACAGACTGCCACCTTGGCTCCAGTTAGGTTCTTGACCTCTAAAAGAAACAAGGAAACCTCAAACCAACAAAAATAAATCACTCTCAACAAAGTAAAAGCACCTTTACCTAAATTCCTACGTAAACCAACATTTCCATGCAGAACTGTTTAGTCAAAAGGTAAATATATATGTTTAATTCTCTTTCAAATGTCAACAAGAATCAAGAGCTACCAGTGTCCCTTGGAGAACAAGCAGTAGTTAAAATTTCTCTTGCTGATGTTCGGAAACATTATGTCACATCTTTGAACTAGCAGTTCCCTATTGCACGTAACAAATTTGCTCTCCATTTAAGCACCTAAAAGCCTGGTATCTCACTAAATAAATTAAAACAAATCCAGTTTCTTCAGCAACCATCTTCAACATAAAGCAACATTACTGCAAGCTTTTAATAAATACAGTGAGAAAAGATCAGTGACTTCGCATTGGTGTTCTGGGTTTTTGGTATGTAGGCTCTAAAAATCACTTTGTGTAGTATATTTAATGAAAATGTCCCTTACATAGGTCAGTACATTTTGCAGGGAACAACTAATCTGAGATACAAATTCCAGTGTAAGGCTGTAAGAAGCTTCTTGCTGAACCTGAACCAAATGTGCCTCTCAAGATGTTGAGGGCAAAGCCCCAGAGGCTGAGTGGGAGACCATTACAAGGAGGGATTCTCAGGCACGTTTGGAATTGGCTTAACCTTCCTGATTCTGAAGGGCTTCTTTTGTGTGTGTTATGTCAGAGGAACAAAATTGCACAACCCTGAACATTTGGATGCTGCATCATTCCCAAAGATGTCCCTGTCCTCCCCCCACCCTACAGACATCTACCCTTCCTTCAGCAGCAGCACGAGACGTGGGGCAGCTCCCTGCAGTACAGTGATACCGTGGTTGCTATTTACAGTAGAATTAATGCATCTGTGCCAGGAGGGCAGAGGTCTTATGAAAAATATATACAATATGGTCATTTTTAGCCAGATTAGGATATAAAAAAAAAATTTACTCTTCAAGTCCCAACTTTAAGCAAAGAACAGTTCTGTCAGAGGTCTTCAACCCTCCTGAGTATGTTAGAGTACATTACTCTAACGTATAAAAACAAATATTTACACCTCCATAAAGTACCAAAGAATTTTTAAAAATGCCTAGTAGCTCTCAGCGTGCAAAGTCAGCAGGAACTGATTATCCAGGATGTTCACTGTTTCTAGAGACAGTCTTGGAATCAAGCATTCAGAAGCAGAGTGCAAAAGACTCAGGAATTATTTCAGTCCATTTGTTTTTGTTGTTTGTGAGCCTGAGAGCGTTATCCAAACGCTTCTTGAAGTTTTGTTGGTCCATAGGACAGATACCCTCTAAAAACACTTATCAAGCTAACCTTCAGCTTAGTGCAAGCGCAGAAGTCTTCTAGGATCTGTAATCTTTTCTAACAGTGTGAGCCATCCAGTTCACTTTAGTAGTCCAACTTTCCCGGAGTGCTTCATCAAACTTTTGCTTAAATTGTTTTAGTGCTTCTTCCTCACTCTTCCCTAAGGCGAGAGAGTCCTAAGACAACAGGAGAACAAGTATTATTAGGAATTTTAAAAAACACAGTTAAAGCCTCTGTCATCTTTCAACACAAACCACATCCTGGTTAGTCCTGTTTTGACACTTTTTCACCTATTCATTGAGCCATCAGTGTACCATCAGTGGTACTTTCTGGGTTTAAAGATAAAACTGAAAAAGAATTAAGCAAATGATTTTCACCTTTATGGGTCTATGCTTGTGTATGAGCCAAGATGGAAACACCCCTGAGAAGACTACATTTAAGATGCAGGGCCCCTGAACTCATGAAAGGAACAGTTTCCTCTGAGCACTAGTACTGACTATAGACCTTGTGCTATAGAGCTGAAAAAGAAAGCTTTGAGGACTGTGTGGAAATCTTGGCAGAAATGCAAAACAATTAAAATGTATTCATCTTGGAATCAAAAATTCACAACCTCGAAAAATGCTAAGTCCTGCTGAGCTGTAAATCTTACTTTACCTTGAGATACTGGATGTCCTTGACAGAGGTCAGCTCTGGAAGACCTGCAGTCAACATCAGTGCAAAGAGTGTAATAAATAGGTTCCCGTGTTTCCGCAGGATCAAGTAGGCTTCTTCACAATACTGCCGGAACCTTTGTGTCCAGCCAGGGCACATGCAATGAACACAACACGTCAGAACTTCCACAGAGGACAAAGGCACACAACGATTTCCAAAATTTGTTATCTGGTCTAACACACGTATTGTAGGAACACGGGAACAGAAAGGACAGAGATGTCTGCAGAACCTTTAATGCATTCTCACAAACATATCCCATGGCTCTGCAACAAGCCCTTAAAACATCAGCACAAAAGACCACCAGTTGTTCTTTGGAAAGAACATGCCAGTGTCCCATCTCCTGAGAATTTGTTCGGTGAAATTCCCTCGTGATCCTATTGAGTGGACCTACAGTGAAAAAACAAAAGCTCTATCGCAGTCCCTCGATATCAACCCAACCTGTCCCTAATCTCTGTTGTCTGGATTATGAGCACATGGCTCTCCATGCCTGTCCAAGCAAGGTCAGGATGGGGTAGCACCCTGAGCGTGCACTGATGGACAAGAAGGGCAAAAGGGAGCCCGTTCCTAAGGCCAAAGCTTCACCTCACCTGAATAACAGTCTGTGGCACTCTTGCCTAGTGCCCAGTGCTGCTGAAGGCAAAAACAAATAAGCCCAGCAAAACCTGCCACCTCCTGCTGTGGGAGGTAGAACTGCATCTTCCCACTGCAGAGCTGCAGCTTCTGGTTACGAAATACTCTGTATGTACATTCTAGCTCAGGTAGAGCAGCAGACAGGACAGTAAATGCATGTTAGGACACCTCCACACAAGTGCAAATGTGCAAACCAAACCCAGATAGGTTCCTGGTGTGTTGGAAATTAACACCAGAGATTATCTCGGTTACAAAGAGATCAAAGTAACACTCACCGACCAAATTTTTCAGTGTTCCCTGTTTTTCCTTGTTGAATAACATGAATGAAATCGTAGGTGAGTATGAAAGGTACCCGTTCCCTTTTAATTCCAAACTTGGACTTAAAGTTTCCAAGAATATGCCCAAAATCTATGTGAAAGAGCTAAAAAAAGTAACAGAATTAGAAGTTAATTTCTCCAGTGAAATATGTCACTTTTCTAATATCTCTTCCAGATGCTGGTATTAAGAACAGTTGTAACTCCTAATGCAACTCTCCACAGCCCATGGTTTCAGCTCTTGGGGTTAGTTTGAAAACATTTCAAGATTTAAAGTCAGTGATAATTTCCACGCTCTTATGAGTGGCCACTGCAGCAAATATTATCTGAGGTTTATGGTGCTGCTGTCTGCCACTAGATGTCTTGCTGGCAATATCACCCAGAAAAATGAGCCCAAGGATGAGCCCACGAGGCTCATCATCATCATATCCAAGGGCTTCCCACATAAAGACAGAGGCAAAGCCAGCAGAATTAAGTTAATCTCGAGGAACCTGTGGCAGTTCTCCCATTTTAGAATCAAAGATAAGGGCATTTCAGCTTTCTTCCAGTAGGTACAAACTTAAATGAATACTGCAAATGTCTGTAAAACTCTTATAACCTTTACTAGTTTTCTAGGCAGAATAGTGTCAAGTAAATCAGACAAGTTTTACAGCACAAAGCAAGAAAATACATGTCTAAGAGCTCACCCAGGTGCTCAGTGCACAGCATTGTGCTGGTACTGGGTTCCACACTGAACATTTCTGCAGGGCTGAGCTGTCACTTTGGGGAAACTGCGCTGCTCCAAAATGCAAAATTTTTAAGGATGGTCTTTTGCAAGACACTCTAAGATTACTTTTGTTCAATGAATCTGAACCGTTAACAGACCTCTTGGGTGTTCTGAAAAAGCTCTACAGAACAGCCTCTCTTGATATAGAATTGCTTATTGAATAGGCACTGCTCTGTCCTTCCACCAGCATCACATTTCCTCTTCTTGAAGCTTTCTTCAATTCTCAGTGAACAAAGGCATAATTTCTAACCACGTGTGAATTTAATTTCACCAAGAAATCAAAGAAATTACAAGTTCTCAAGACAATTCTTGCACACTGTTATTCTGCCCAGGGAAAGGATTTTTACCTGCCCATTTTTTCTGACCATGATGTTGTCACTGTGTCTGTCACCAATTCCCAACACATAAGTAGCTACACAGTAGCCAGCACAAGACAGAGTAAATTCTTCAATGGCTCGATCCAAGTCATCTCTGTAACCACAAAGACAAACAATAGTAGTTCAAACTATTGGTAATTCATGTCATGCCTTGATCCCAAGTAGGATTTTTGCTTGTATAAACCACAAGTCCTTAGGATGCTGTAAAACCAGGCTTACTTGAGAAAAATTACTGTAAAAGCAGCCATAGAGAATAGGCAATAAAAAAGGCAACGACATCAAGACTTGAGACCCACGTTCGTTCATTTTGCTAAATCTAGTATAACTCAACAACATACAGTGAAAATGCTGCAAATGCCAGGTCCAAGGGCACCAGCAATCTGAGTCAGAATTTGACATAATAGAAAAATAATTAGCAACAAACCTGCGAGAAGAACCATACCTCTCTCAACATTAAAAGAGAAACTTAAGAGGCATTTTGTAGCTCATACTGTAGCTGAGAAAATAACTGTAGAAATTACCCTAAATTGTATTCCTTCAGCCAGTTCAGGAGCGCGTCCTTGTTGAAGGCAGCAGCTGCAGCAACATTGCTGCTATTTAACTGAATGTCAGCAATGGTTTCTGAACTAGAAACAGCCTCAATAAGGCCAGAGTGATCTCCAGTCGCCAAACAGCCATAGGGCAATATCCTGAAAGGAAACACAGAATCATGTTAAAATCAGATAATAGCAACATGTTTCTTTAGTGTATCGATTTTCTGAGAGGGATGAATACTCACACTCGTTTAAACAGTAAACCTCTCAAAGGTCAACATACACGAATTGCTTGTGAAGGTAAAATACCAGCAATACATTTAAAACATTAATTTTTCCTATTATGTACACATATGTAAAAAAAAAAAAAGAAATTTTAAGAAGCCTAATTTTTCCCAGTTACTTGTACTTTCAGGGGACGACCCACAGAGGGAGCCCCACGTTTGCATTTGTTAATTCCTGCCCGGGCAGACACCAACACACTCCTGCTCATTCCAGATAAATCACTTCTGTAAATGGAAAAAAAAGGATTTTGTCCTTTCCCCCCTTATTCCTATTTCAAATTAAAATTCTAAATATAAACACATAAAATGTTTCCCAACTCTTACCAAATTTAAGCATAGAAACCCAATGAAAAACAAGAATACATCTCTTAACTTGCCTGGTATCTAAGAATATATCTGTGCATTCATATACTGTGACTAGTAAAAATATCTTCAACAATGTCACTGCATTACAATAAGACACAGTTAAGGATATGAACTAAGGAGAGATGTGTCTAAACAGATAAGTGTTTTCTCACTCTAGATGCTCAAAAAGCTAAACAGAATGCCAACTCCCCATGGCATGGGAGCTCAGTGTGGAAACTTATAGCAAACTCTTCAAAGGCACTGCATCCCAAACTGAGGTGTCTGTTCTCATGCCAGGCATCTCAGGTGAAGAATATTATCTCAGCTGTGATTGCAAATCCAGGTATAAGAGAACAGATGCCCACGAAAATCTAACTGCAGTACACAAGCTATGGACTAACACTCACTAACTTACAGAGCCGTATAAACCAATTGCAGGACGTATTAAAATTGATGTGTGTGCATATATACATACATATACATGTACATATGTATCTCTATATGTGTGTATATATATATATAAAGAAAAAGTACTGCTGGTGGAGCTGTCATTTTTATTTATATATAAAATAGATATTAAATTTCATTGCTACAAAGCAGAACCTCATCTCCTAACTGACACAGCCTGTTATCCCAAGCCATAGAAGGAAAATAAATAAAATTCCATACAAAATTAATGACATTTTTTTGCCATAATAGCTATGAAGCAACTGAGCAGTTTCTCTACCTCAGGGATAACACACAACTGAAACAGCACAAGCTGCAGTAACTACATAATCTGGGACTCTGCTGGCAACAAAGCAAACTGAAAACCAGATTCAACAGGGCATTTCGAGAACACTCAACTTCAAAACAACAAAAGAAGTGCAGACTTGGAACCCTCTTCCCATTTCTGTTCTGATCTATGTCCCAGTTCCAGCCCAGGTCCCCAGCCCAGCAGGTCTCACAATGACCAGAACAGTGTCTGTAACCATCCAATGGCAGCACCCACGACTCAAGGAAGCACAGCCCATCCTTATCACGACACGACAAATGGGAGCCAAATATTGCCAGGTTAAAGTGCACGCTGGCCTTCTTCCATGGCAGTTCAACCCACCCTACTTGCAGCTTAACTGGGCACAGCTCCAGCAACTTCCCCTTCAAAAGCAAGCAATGATGAAAGCCTTCAGCCCCTTGAGGGCTCTGTGCTTATAACCGGAGGAAAAAACATCCTTGTCAGAGAGACGGTTTGACAGGAGTCAAGTTAGGGACAAATCCTCTGGGCCCTTTCCATCTCATTCTGGTCTTTCTGACTTCAACAGCTGCCAGCAGGATACGCTCCCTGCTTTTTAAAGCCAGTGGAAGCCATGGACAGATCAATACTGCAGTCCTGAGCAGGACAGAAAATTTTCTCTCCGCTCCTTTAAAACTGTTCTTTTTTTCAAGAGTTTAATTCTCCAAAGCAGTATCCTTCCAAATACACACTAAATTCTGGTAATTTATCAACATATTCTCTGTAACTTCAGGTCCAATAGTTAAAAAAAGATGACATTCCTTGTAGTTGCAACAAATATATTTTCAGTATTTGTGTGAATTCTGATTTCATTCATACACATCCACATAACATCAGACCTCACTCATAAGGGAGATGAAAATGAAACCCCACAATAAACAAGTGTGAAACAAAAAAGTAACCAAGTATTAAATACTTTTATGACAATTTACCACAGCAAAAGTTAGTCAACATAGATCAAACTCCAGAAATTCAGGATTTTCTGTTGCTCTGTTACTTTACTAGTTTTTCCCTTAACACACCTTTGCTGCTCTAATACAAGTTAAGCAGTTGAAACACTTATGCAAGGATCACTTTCCTGAGAGGTGCAACACCCCAGATCCCACAGCATTCCTGGGAAGACATGTTATGCTCCTGTGCTGTGACATGGATTTGTAATAGTTTAACATTCCTTGTGGAAATAGTAGAATAAGCTATGTAATCTACTGTGAGTATGCCCATACAGGACTTCACAGGCAGAATTTGTAACTTGAGGAGTTGTAACTTTTCAGGGGGTTTGAAAGTTTTTCTGTCTCAAAGTTTCATTTGTCATTCTGCTCATGGCTGGCTCTGCACTGGGAAGCAGATCAGTCTGCACCTCAGGTTTTACTCAGCTGTGCGTGCACAGTCCACCCAGTGCCAGCCCAGGACCTCCTGGAGCACTGCTGCATCCTCCTGCACAAACACATCTCCTTTTCCTTACTAACCCTGCCCTGGCTGTGTTGTTCAGTCAGACCTCACACACAGGAACCCAGGCAGCACAACACACACATGCAAAAGGCCAGTTTACCCATGAGACACATTAGTTGACAGTTAAACAAACAAACAAACCCTTCCCCTCCTTCAGCTTTGGAGACCTCAAAATCAATATATATTCAGTGTTCTTCTCTAGAGAAGAGAAATCCCATTGGGAATATCGTGCTTGCCTCAGACGCAGACTGAGCTAAGATTTAATTTTAAATCACTACTAAACTACTGTGGATCACAGTGTAATTAAAAGGGAACTGATCACGTCCCAAACTCCTCGATGGCAGTGGATTGGTTGCCATTTGATCCACGCTTCATAGAAGCTGTACAATTTGCTCTCCCCAACATGACTGATGGGGAGAGGCAAACAGCAAGTGCTTCTGCCCTGACACCAGTGACACAAGAAGCCCTGATTTCACTTGGATGGACTTATCAAACTTTCTGTAGTGGAGAAGAGTTGACAAGTGCAAAATCCATTCTGTATCCACAAGTGGAATGAACAGCTTCAGGGAAACTAAAGCCTCCAAGGACAATACAGGGCAAGAAGCATTGGTACAGGCATATGACACTCTTTTTCAGGAAAGCAGCTCTATTTGACACTATTTTTCTGCCTGAGATCATGACTCATACCCAAGCAAAAACAAGCCCAGTTAAGCAAATAAATGGAAGAGGCCAAATATAGAACTTCAATTCTCACTAGGAACTTCCCCTTTCTACTTTTTTTTCTTCTCAGAGTTTTAAGAAAAAACTTGGACATCAGAGCTACTTTTTGGTTTTCCCTTGCTAAGTTTAAAAAAAATGCCTTTGTCAGGGGAAGCATATTTGATGACTCTAATCACTATTCCTGTTTGCTAGGCACAGTGTGTGGCCCAGGCTGGCATCACAAACTAAGATTCTGGGAAGGCAGCAACCAAAGGATGCCTCATTTGGAGTTCCACAGCTGCCAGAAGCTGTCCTTGCCCCTAAATGATGGATTGGTCTCCTCAGAGTCTATTTATAATGACAAATTATCTAAGGTTTCCTCAAGTCAGTGTTCAACTTAACACACACTCAGCCACCTCACAAATGTACATTTCCAGAAACAGTTTGTCATTCACATTCCTACCTTTCTATAAGCAAACAAGTAACAAGTTTATAATTGCACTTCTCTGTGCTGATGTTAAGTGCCTTATGTAGCTCCCACTGTTTATGCTTGAACCATAAAACATTTGAAATGAGCTCAAAGAAACTAAAATAAGTATTTAAATAAATATTTCTAGAATTACAAAAAAAAACCCACACTGAAAAATTAAACACAGCCCTTGCACAGACATATAAAATTGAATTTATGGCCTCCAAATGGTTTATAATAATGTGACACCCAGTGCCTTCTTTAGGACTACTTTTCTAAAGACTAATTAGAATTTGATAATGATATTACCTAAAACTGGTGCATAACCTGGGTAGAAAAGTTCCCCATGTACTAGAGGGTTGTATGATAACATGGAAGAATGCCTGATCCTGTTTCTCTTTGGGATACCCTGCTATTCCTACAAAGAAGTAATGCTTACCTTGGCAAGCATATGAAGGTAAGAAAGCTGCTTTGCAAGAGACTTTGAAAAACACAAAGATATTTCTGGTCTGAAAAGTGTCTTCTGACATCCAAATAGTGTTTTATCAACAAAAGCAAACAAAGTGGGATTCAGCACCTACACTGAAGGTGCTCACAGTGACTGTGTCAGTGTGAACAGCCCTAAGGGGACTGCTCAGAGCAGGAAGGAGAGAAGGTTCACCTCAGCTGTGACAACTGAAACCTTTGGGCATCCATACAGATGTTTAGAAAGGGGGCAGTAGGGAAGGTACTTAAAACCAGGAAAGCTTTACTTTTAAAAGTAGACTCTCCATCCAAAGAAACTGGCCCTCCAGAGATCCTTACCGGAGATCCAGACCAGCTTCTTTCCAAAGGATGTCCATCAAACGCAAAATCTGGAGCGTCAACATGTCCTGTCGGAGATCTGTAACCAAAGGGTGAAACTGCTGCTTCAAGTTCTCACTGTGTTGCAAACAAACTTTCTGAAGTTTATAAGGCCCTCAGGAAAAGGTATCTAAAAACACTCCTCGAGCCTAAGGGTTAAAGTGGCATTAACCATAATTACACCATCATGACTGGCCATGCCTGTACTCTGAAACTCAGTCAGAAGAAGATGCTGAATGTTTACCAGTGTTAGAGTAATCCACCTTTACATTATGGCAAAACACAGCAACATAGCTTAAGTGCAAGCATGGCAATGAAAAGGAAAAATTTAAAGTTTTTAGCATTACTTACCATCACCATTTTTAAAGATGATCCCTACAAGATCTCCTCCAAACATTTTGTTGTTGTATACTATCCACAGAGGCTTCATTTTAGAATCCATGTATCTACACTTCTCAACACTAGAAGACAATACAACAGAAGTTTTAGTCAAATAAGAATAATTCAACTGAAAAGGTCTAACCATGGTTCAGAACATGCCAGAACACAGACTTCCAGTTTGGAAATACCTAAATGCTCTCTCAGCATTCATTCTGCAGCTATGCTATGAGCACTTATCAAGCTATGGACATATTATAGATGGACTGTATTTGATTGGCATACACATCTCTAGGGCTTAAATCAAGCATCCTCATTTTCAGAGAAAATAGTTTTCTTTATATTCCTTCCCATCAATTTTCAGACTTTATGTGTTGTGAAAAGTTTTAGTGCTTATTGTTATAAACAGAAGGAAGGAATGCAGTCTAATGCACTTTGAGGTTTATATTTAAATATGTTTAGCTATGGTAATGGATCAGTTAAGAGAATATTGAGTTTCATGGTAGATCACAAATATCTTCTAACTTAACTGGTATCTTAACCTTAGGAAGAATCCCAGCAGACCCCTCACCACAGGAAAAGCTCCCCATGACAGCACATCAGCTGAACAACACAGCCAGAGGAAGTTTCTGCTCTACTGATTCCATGCAAAAGCTACAGTGAAATTGTATTCACTCATTCTTTACTCACTGCAGTTCTGAAAGTATAACAGAAGGATTCAGAGGAGACTGAAGGTCAGAAAGTGCTTCTCTGTAAGCATTTTGTTTCAAACATGTATGCATGGCATCTTTTCCTTTTGCTTTGCTTTGCTTCATGGCATTCAGCTTAATTAGACTATTTAAAGTCTTCATTTTATTAAGGGCTTCCACCTGAAAGAGACATTTTATCTTTAAGAGTTATTGCTCTAATTTAACATATAATACAGTGCAAAATCCCATTTGAAAACAAAACAATGTATTAAATCTCCAGCTTTTTAAAAATGGAAATAACAGATGGCAATTAAGTCACTCACGTTCCAGAAATACCATTTTCATAATTAGCAGAGACATTGATGGGATGAAAGCCCCTAAGCTTTGAGTCACTTTTAAAAGCATGACTTAACATTTCTTGAAAAATGAATGGGGCATTTTAATGTATGATACATCAACACAAATTCCTTCTTCAAAATACAAATACTAATTCAACCAAGCACATAACTAGGTGCCTCTATCCATACATAAGTCAACACAAACACTGATTGCTTCATATTTCTAACAAAATCAGACACCATTTGAGAGTAGATGTGGATGCAGATTCTTCATTGTTCACATTAAGTTGCACCCAATAAGATGTGGCCACGTGACCACTTGCAGACAATTGTCACAGTTCAGAGTCTTAAATGTTTGTCATTAAAATGCTGCTGAAGTCAGGCATAAGGCAAAAGCTCGAATCAACCAAGGTGCTCCAAATCACAGCATCTCAACTAAACAGTATTTTTAAGCTAAAAATGTGTAAAAAGTCAAGGTAATTATTTGCAGTAATACAAGTAGTTTAACTCTTTCTTTCCATTCTGTTTTTTGAAAGTTTTCTACTGGTACATAATTTCTAAGAAAACTACTGTTGTAAATGTACAACACTGACAGAGCAAAGCCCTCTGTAAGAAACGTAGACAGCACATACAACCAATACAATTTCTACAGCTAAACAACTTGTTGGCCAACTACAAAACAGTTCTTATAACAACCAGCTGTGTTTGCACCAGCCACAGTTAACGTGCTCAGCAATACAGAGATTCTCCAGAAAACAGCACCAGGGTAGTAATTATGAAAGCTGATTTCTATACAAGGAAGCTTCAGTCTAACTTACAAGGTGCTGAGTCAAAACTTACCCCTCCCACAGACTGAACCCTGTCAGGCAGGATGCTGTGGAAATTGTATGCAGTTTGATTATAAAACTGGGCAGTGGAGACCTGCCAGGTCAGCCATCTGTCAAAACCAAAAGCCCTCTGCTTTTCCACTATTCTAGGAGCTGTACAAACATCAGTGACAGGGGAACAAAATGGAACCTGTGTTGTACAAACAGGAACTTTTTGAAGTATTTCTACTTTGAATTTCTTCCGTGTTTGTACAGTTGGGAATTTTTTTGCCCTTTCTTTGATTGTACTGACATTTGCTTCCTGTAAAGTGCACAAAAACTTTACTGACCTTGCATCTATTGCTTAAAGCATTTCACTACCTTATCTTTTTATGATTCTGACAATGCTAACAAGCACACATATGTAAGAGATGGTCTCTTCCATGCCCTGTGAGCTGCAGCAATAAAGAGCACAGCAGAACATTCCTGTTCCATATGCCTCCCAAAAGATAGTTTTAATGCAGACAAATGCCACTCACCAGTCAGTCATACACTGAGTGAGTCTTTGTGATCTGATACAGCAAATACATTAACTCCAAGGGAGATCATGTTTCAAATATTTTTATGGTCACAATCTAAATTAACTCACTAAAACTGCATGAGTGACTTCATGAGAGACTTCAAACATGATTTGTGAGTGTCTCTTAATGATCTGCTGATAGACTTATTAGTGTTTTTAAAAGCAAACCTCTCATGCTTTTTAGGGCATTTAAAAGCAAACACATCTCTCTCCTTTTTTTTCTTTTTTTTTTCCCTCTGGAAATAGCACATCTATATTAACACTAAAATGAGTATTTGGGTTACTTCAACACCTCTATTTCCAGGGAGCACTACACTATACTACAACTTCAAGGGGTTTTGCATCACACTTTAACAAAAGCCAAAGCTGCAGGAAGTAGTCTTGGAGTCATCTAAGTAAAATTTAGAACAAGTTGCCTTTACTGAGGGAAAAAGGTCAAGTGCACAGAAGGCCTTCTTCAGTTAACAATCCACAGAGTCTGCTGCTGTACCTGGAATACATCCATGCTGCTGGAGGTACCTCTCACATCTATAAAACCAGCTCACTACCTCTGAGGCCCCACAGCACTGGCTGCCCTCTGTACCAGGGAGGCAGCTCCATCATCCATTTAGCCCTTTTAATTCTCTGTGTCACACATGCTCCCTTCTCTCCCCCAGTCCCAGCAGATGGACTTTGTCAAGGTAACCAATATGCCCCACAGGAACAATGGAATGAGTATCAGTTACAAGCTCAGAGAAGTCAAGCCTGCCAGGAGAAGGGGAGCCCATACCTGTTTAGCAAGCACTTTCATGTGAGCAACACTTCCTCTGCAGTAAGCTTCCAGAATCAAACCAAACTGCACTGAGACAGCAGGGATGTGAACCTCTGACCTGTGAGGAGAAAGGCTTCTTGTCAGACCATGGCACTTACAGATCTGTGTTCTAACAGTCATTACAAAACCCCAAATCAAACATAAAACCACATCATGGACATGTAGATAAAACAAAAAGCCAGAATTCTTAAGAAATAGCAGAACACTTCTGTGCTGAAGACTATGAAGACAGGCCAGGTTTGGTACATGCCACTTGTTGCAAGGTCCAGGACTGCTCTGGAGGCAGTGGTGTTAATGTTTAGAGGTAGCAACTGAATACCTGTTTCAGGACCCCCTTTTACTCAGAGCAGTACTGAGAAGTTACAGAAGATGATCCTGACAATCAGGGCTGATGTTAAACCACATGCTCCCAAATCTTTGTAAGGGAAAAGCCCACATTTGTCCAAAGGGGAACACATTGAATCAAACCATTGAACTTTATACCAGAGTTAATTATCCTCCAAAACATTTTCATGTAGTACTTCCTCTTTTTAGTTAGAAATATTAAAATAAAATGTGCTTTGGAGCCAGAATAAACCTATAGTCCATTCTGCAAGGCTTCTGCCATTCATGAAACTGCTCACCAAAAGTAGAAATGACACACAAAACTACTTTTATTCTATTGCAGTTCTTTCATCATGTGGTAGATTACAAATCACTTTATTTAATGATAGACTTGCTCTGATCTCTAAATGCCAAAGATAAAGAAACATAAAGAGGACTTATAGAATACTATGAAAATGGCTCATTTAGCAAAATCCTCAAGAAATCAAATTTGAAAGTCCAATCAGGCTCAATTTCAGAAAGACAAAAGGGAAGAACTCCTACCTTAGATGCCAGAACAACATCTGTCCTATTCGCCTGTTGGCGAGTGCTCTTTCCAAGAGAAACCTGGAGAGTGCACAATCCAGAAAGGGCTCATACTTCAGGACTTGCACAAGTTGGAGAAGATACTGAGAAAGCTCTTCATCACTAGAATGAGATACATCAAGGCAGTTAGTAAGAGTAAGTAGATTGATGATACTCCAGAAATTCAGATGCATATGAAAAATCCAATAGCAGATTTGTTTCAATAGCAAGAGCATTCCACAATTTTTCAATCACATGGAGAAGGATAATACACATCTTAGTGCAAAACTGCCAGATGGAAATAATTCCAGACATAACAATTTGGTATTATTAGGATAGCCGGGCAGCTAAAACTGCTTGTTCCCATTTGAAAGAAGTCCAGATAATTTATTTTTTCTTACCCCAAAAGTCTAGCCTTGACCGTTAAAAAATTAATCATTAAACTATTCACCACAGAGAATTCAGAATTCAAGGACAGGAAATATGCAGTAATGATAATGTTACACAAGTCTTGCCCTAGGTTACAGTGGCGAGCAGAATGAAAAGCAATAAAGGAAGAACTGCAGAGAGAGAAGGCTCCTGTGAAGAACAAACACATCAGTAATTCTCTCATTATTTATTATATGCTACAGCTTACGTTCCTATTTTGTGAGGCAGCCAACCCCTGACACAGAGTGTGAGGTGGCTGCACAGTAGGTCTTACAGGATTTGACTACTGTAATATTTCTCCCTTTGTTTTTAAGAAGTTCTCACAGTATCTCGCTCTCCCTTTGTCCCAGAGAGGGTTGTGTGTGTTTGTCCCTTCCTTGGACAAAGGTGCACTTTGCAACATGGAAAATAATCATTGTTGACTACGAGATGCCAGAATAAAAAGGTTTTATTTGGCTGCCAATGTCCCTATCTAGAAATTTGACTGCTTTATTTGACCATCTATTCATGGTAGGCAGTGTTTAACTCTTTCCTCTCCGGGTTGTTTTTTTTCCTGTAAACAAACTGACTGCAGTTTTCCACCCCAGAAATCCTCAGATGGTAAAGTAATACAACATACTCACCTCATCTGCTTTAAACAACCCACTGCATATTCCCTGACATACTGATCTGGGTAATTGAAATCCAACAGCTCCAAAGCTTCTCTGGGCAGCAGCTTGGGCCAGATCTGAAGGAGAGCCTGAAGCTGTTTTAAAAAGAAGACAGTTAGGTTACAGGTAAAGGAACTATTTAAGAACACAGATGGGTATAACTGCCCATAGAAGTATTCATACCAACAGAAGATGGTTACCAACCACTATGGGGGTTTGGTGGAAAGGAGGGAAACAATTTGGGGTAAATGGGCCCACTTCTGAATCAGTTTCTTACTCCTTAAAATGATCCAGATTATTTTTAGTCTGCAAAACCTGTTTCTTCACACGTAGACACAATGCACAATAAACAAAAATTAGGTAGCCCCACATAAGTATGTTTAAGAAACATTGTCAATAAAAATTAGATAAAGTTTTGTAAATGCTCTCATAAATATATAACAACTTCGGTAATGGCAAAAGTTTTCTACTAGAAAAAAAAAAGGTAGTTTTTTGTTGAACGAAATCTTTACCAAGATTATTTGACCACCTCAACTGATGGAGCTTTTTCACACACTCATTGTGAATAGTAATAAGCTTAAATTGTGAAAAGTATGATTCAGCTTAGATATTTTTTTTTAAAATCCCTATGCAATATAATGTGCTGGAAAACATTACAGAATACACTAGTGCATCATTTTGGACAACCAAGAACATCCAGAAGTCTCATAAAATAAACTGGTTTTATTGCATTGTAATGAAACTCCCCTCTGAAAGTGTATTTTTAATAATATGTATATAGTTGTATGACTGAAACAATTCACTATTACTCAAAATAAACAAACTTGAATATATAAATGCAGTGTATCAACAGCACAAGATTTTTCTTTCTGTAGGAATGAGTCTCATAATTCGTAATAAAAATACCCTCTCCTACAAATTAGATAATACATATTATTTCATACTTAAATAGCAACTTATAAAATCTGAATGATTAAGATCTTTTTTCTTTTTGATTTAGTAACAATTTCAAAACAACAGCGAAAATTCCCTGTTTCTAATATATGTCACATATCAACTAATGCTTCCAGTTCAGGTATGACAAACACATTTGAGCTCATAGTCTCAGCTGACACTTAACAGGTGTGTTCATAACACTGGTTAAACACCATGGGGCCAGTTTAATGAAATTCAGAAGACAACAAACGGGTAGAGATCATTAACAGTGCAAAGCCAGTGGCCAGACTGCAGCTCCAGAAGCGGAGGAAAGGATCAACTAAACCATTTTCATGGACAACTACTGGTATGAACACCTGCACGATTCATACTGATATAAAATTAAACTAAAGGTGTTTTTAAACATAGATGTCGTATTCCCACAGAAGAATACACTCAAAAATCTATTCAATCCATAGCCCAACAAGGGGTAACAATGCCAGTCCTGATGTTGAGGACTGCAGCCACCAACAGTCACACAGCAGAACACTGGCACTGAAACTCTAACATCGATCAGATACTTCATACACAAGACAGATGTTGGAAATGCAAGCAGCAGCTATGAACATGCAGTAAGAAACTCTGCAGAATTTCTAGACAACCTACTTTAAACCAGGTGCAGAACCGACAAGAATATAGAAATACTTTGTTAATACTGAATGATTGAATTGAACGGAGAACCTGAAATAGTCTGCTGAGCCCAAGTGGCCCTGCATGCCTCATGTATCAGGCAATGAATTGTGAAAGTCATGCTCTACAGAGTGTACATTTACTGTGAAGGTTATTTGAAAGTACAGATCTCCTCCCTTTGCTTAAATTATTGTTGCTATAACGAGAAAATGTTAAGGTATATGAGCTGAGAGGGAGCAAGATCTAAATAACCTATGACACAGCCAAGAGAGTTCCCCAAACACCTACGGCTCTGCTCACATTATGCCTTGGAACTTTAGTAAGAGAGAAGTGCAGCCCAACCAGCTCCACATTCAGCTGTGCTGCTCCAAAGTGCAGGTTAGAGGAGATAGAAGCACTTGTTGCATTTGGACAAAAGAAAACAAGCACCATGGAATGCCCTCACCTGCTTTGGCAGCAGAGCAGTAACTGAACAGCTTCCAAGTAAAGAAATTTGTAAAGAAATTTCACATTTCAAAACATGTTCTGAGTTCTAAAAATTTCTCTGCAATATGAGACATGGTAAGATGTTGCACACACGAGACACCACCTAATTCTCTCGCATGGTTTGCAACTCCTGACGAGCCAGGAGAAGACAAGGAACTGCAATTCCCAGCAACAATTGAGAGGTTCAGAGAAATCTCAAATTTGGCCTTGGGGTATCAATATTTTTTTCTATAAAGAAATAACCACAATTTCTTTCTAACAAGACAAGTTCACTGTAAAAGACAATACAGTTAAGCATAGGCCATTATTTTTATTCCAGTTATTTCACATATTTCAGGAATCAGCTGTCTTTTCTCTAGTTCTCACTGTGGATGGTGTCACTTTGCTGAAAATAAGGGGATTTTTTTAAATAGTGGTTGAAATCTGCTTTGAGAATAAATATTGCCTTGTGAATTCTGCTAACAAGTTCTGCCACCCTGCTACTCTGCTGAGTGAGGGGGTTATGGCAGCAGTGAGGGCAAGCACCTTCAGAATTCCTTCAGTGCAATCATTTCATTAAAATACTGCAATCCAATAAGAACTTGGATGAGATCTATATGGTAAATAATTCAACAAAGCTGCTTTAATCCATTGGACATAACTCCATGGACCACTGAGCTAACAGAATAAAGATGGTCTACAATCAAATACAATACTCCATTTTGGGGGTTTTGTTTCTTGGGGCTTTCTGGTGTTTTCGGTTTTGTTTTTTTTTTGTTTGTTTGTTTGTTTTTGGTTTTTTTTTTAATTTTGTTGTGTTTAGTTTTTTAAAACTTTCTGCCTTAAGTGTCAAGACTTTTACTGAAATACATCTAAAAATGAACATTAAACAAACTTCCAGTACAACAGCATGCACAATGTAGCCATACAAACACTGCAATCTACAGCTACTACTATAAATGTTTAATTTTAATGAGAAGTAAATTATGAGTCCTGCTAATTTTAAAACTCATAAAATTCAGGAGGCTGTCTTGCCTTACCTGAAAAGGTAAGTTGTTGGGAGTACTTACATGTCTGTGTGCTACAGAAATATTTGGCATGTTTAAGGATCTTATTTTTCAGGTAGACCATCCTTGCTGCCAAAACCAATATTACACTATAAACTGCACTATTGCCTATACATAAACAAACATAAATACTACATTCCTTCCAGAAAGTAACACTACATTCCTTCCACAGTAACAAGATGACCACATATTTTCAGCCATCTGCTTAAATAAATGATTTATACATCTATAATATTTAATATTCCCAAATTTAAAGGACTTTGAGCTGTCAGCTGATATCCATACTCTAAATAACTTTTCAAAACTGCTACCAAGGGCCACATTTCAAAGCCCACAGCAATCAGAAGGCCTTTTCCCTCACATATTTTAATGAGCAAACAAGTACCTGCTTACATTTCTACACTTTGTATTTCCAGATAACTTCTAATAATGAACAATAAATTCAGAAGCACAATGGAATTACTAAGGAATGAGGATTCTTGCACACAGAAGAACACAACTGAGCAAGAAATGTGTGAGTACCCCATTTTGTTAATGTAGTGTCCATGGCACAGACAATTAGCTAGGATGAAATTCCATTTATTTTTAGGAGTTCACACAACATATACATCTATGTGGTAGAAAGGATGTAACAGAAGATAAGCTCCATGCTGGAGGCGAGCTAAGATTCTGACTGACTAGATAATCACAAAAATTACAGAAATAGATAGAAGATATTTTCATGGAGCGGCTTCCTTTTCTTCCCAGAGCACCGAGCTTGTAACAGGTGAAGGTCAGAATACTAAGGCACAATAGAAATCTATACTATCAATCATAATCCTTCACAGAAAATGCTTTTTAGCTCTAAAGTTATAAAAAAATGAAAAAAATTCGTTTCAAATTTAAAAAAATGAGATTCATGGAAAGAGATAAATATTATCACAGTGTAATGGTCTGCAAGAAAGTTGAGTGTTATTTAAATATGAATTCTGTCAGGATAAGCAGGTGACCAAAACAACATCTGGGTTCACCCCCTGGAGCGAGTGCTGCGTTGGTTACTCTGGCCAGACTTGCAGTTTGGCCAAACTGCTCTGTACTCTGTACACAATCAGACTAAAAAGTTTCAATACCAATCCAGGAATATGTTATTTTATTACTTTTTAAAAATCAGTCTATCAAGCAGGAGTGGTCTTACTATAAGCTCATATAATTTTTCCTATTAAAGGTTAAAGTTCAACCTATTCCCAAAAAGTGTCACAGGAGTTGGGTTCTATTTGGGTAAATACAGCAAAAGGCAGCTACAGCAACTTCTTTAAAGTGTAGTGAAATAATTGTGCACATCTGTACAGCAAACAAGTGATTTTACTGAAAATGCATCTTGAATCACAGCACCAGCCTTCATGCCCTTGGTTACTGACAGTCACTTTAAGGAGACCCTTTTTGGTCAAACAGCCACATGATGAGAATTATATGTTTTGTACCACTGGTGCGGATCATATTTCTTTGAAAATCACCTGTCTGCCCAAATGAGGTTTAATTACCCAGGTGAGATGTGGATTTTTACAGTATTTGAGCAGTTTAGTAATTTTTATAAGAAGTTTTGTTTCAGATCATGACTGATAAGCTTTTTTTAAAAATATTTAATAGCCTTACAAAAGATATTCCAATGGTCACACATTGGAACAGGTTGCCCAGAGAGACTGTGGAGGCTCCATGGGTGAAGATACTCCAAATGCAGCTGGGCACAGTCCTGCTCAGGTGACTGTGCTTGAGCACAGGGGGCTGCACTAGGTCATCTCAGAAGGTTCCTTTCAACCTAAGCAACACTGTGAGTCTGTGAAATTCCTTGCATTTAAGATCAAAGTGGGCACAAGATTTTAAAATTAGTCTGTAGAAATAATTGCCGTGCTTTTCCCAGAGGACTACTCAGAAGACTGGTTCAGAGGGTACCTTGGGAAAAAGCCCTTGAAAACAAAGGGGTCCAGGAGGGATGGACATGCTTCAAGAAGGAAGTCTTGAACACAGGGGAGCTGTCCCAGTGCGCCGAAAGGTGAGCCGGCAGGGAAGACCACTGGTCTGGCTGAATGGGGAGATTTTGAAGGAAATTTGGGGAAAAAAGAGAGCTCACCAACTATGGAAAAAAGGGCTGGCTACTCAGGAAGAGTTTAGGAATATAGTTAGGTCATGTAGAAAGAAAATTAGAGACAAAGGCACAATTTGAATTCAATCGAGCCACTTCTGTCAGGGATAACAAGAAGTGCTTCTACAAATATGTCAATAGCAAAAGGAGGGGCAAGGAAAACCTCTATTCTTTGTTGGGCTTGGGGGGGAACACAGTCACCAAAGATGAGGAAAAGGCTGAGGTACTTAACAGCTTCTTTGCCTCAGTTTTCAACAGTAAGACAATTGTCCTCAGGACAACTGGCCTGTGGAGCTTGTAGACAGAGATAAGAAGCTGAACAGCCCCCCTGTAATCCAGGAGGGAACAGATGGGATCCACCCAAGGGTGATGGGGGAGCTGGTGGAAGAGCTCACCAAGCCGCTCTCCATCATCTACCAACGGTCCTGGCTCACTGGGGAGGTCCCAGATGATTGGAAGTTGGCAAATGTCACACCAATCCACAAAAAGGGCCGGAAAGAGGACTCGGGAAACTGCAGACCCGTCAGCCTGATCTCAGTGCCTGGCAGGGTTATGGAGCAGATCATCCTCAGTGCAGTCACACAGCACCTACAGGATGGACAAGGGATCAGACCCAGCCAGCACGGGTTTAGGAGGGGCAGGTCCTGTCTGACCAGCCTGATCTCCTTTTATGATCAGGTGACCTGCCTGGTGGATGAGGGGAAGGCTGTGAATATGGTCTATCTGGACTTCAGCAAGGCCTTTGACACCATGATTTGACTCCAGCATTTCCCCCACCATCGTTGTCTTTTCCCTTACCTGAGCAACATCTTCAAGTTTGTTCCATTTTAAAGAGAGCAGCAGTTTGGGCAATGATTGTGGGAAATTTTCACGACAGTCATATCGCAAAGTCCAAATGAGATCCATTTCATTTTCACAAAGCTGAGATAAAGGATCTCTTTCCATTATTTCTTTTAGCACAACATAAAACTTCTTACCACCTCGACCCTAGAAAATGAGAAAGGTACAATGTCGTGATAAATTCAGTAAGAGTCTTATACTTTAGCTCAAATATCAGCAATCTCACAGCAGGAGGAACATCAGATAAAACTCATGGAACACAGGGGAGTGACTAATGTGTCTTTTGTTCAGATTTCTTAAGCTGTAAGCACTGCAACTAACAGATTTCAAATTCAGTGTGCAGCAGTTTCTAAAAAAGCAACTAAACTTTAGAGTTAATGACACTAGATGGCAATATTTCTGTTTTCCAACTCCAACATGGAGAATTTTCATTAGGATGCATATTTCTTCTTTTGTTTTTCAAATGATGAAATTTAATAGATACATGTATATATATTTCTTTTAATTAAAAGCAAAAAAAACCCCAAAACCCACTTTTCCAATAATAACCAAAAGAAAGTATATTTGCCAAGTAGACAAACACATATTTTTATCTTCTAATCTTAACTTGTTTTCCACATCTAATGTAAATCTTAGCTGTGTTCCAAACCCATAGAGTATGCAAAGCTTTTTAACAAAATATAGCCAAGTCCAAAATATATTGGAAAAAGCAGATATATACATGAATTTTAAGGCAGTTCATCAAGTGAATTATATACAAAAACAGAGCCAGTAAACTCTTATTTAAGCTGTAGACTTCTTTATTTCCAGAGCCAAAAAAACCCAGAAAATTAATTTTAAAATAGTCTTTAGGTGATGCTCACCGCCATTGCAGCATTGTCACTGTTTCTTGCAATCTCAGCTGCCTTTTCAAGTATCTGCAAAAAGTTGTTTTTAAATACATTAGATTTAAACCCAAATCTGATTGCATTGAAAGAATAAACATTATGGAAATGAAGTAGATAAGGAAACTTTGCTATCTTTTATATAGTTTCAACACTATTCTTTTGTATATACAGTGGTACAATATGGTGTGCTCCTTTTCTAATCTGCAGGACTAGGGAGATCAGGAATAGCAGTGCTCATGATTACCTCTGTTTTTTTCTTCTTCAGCACTACTGAGCTAAACAGTCTTTCTGATGGCACCTTGTTTTCCATTTCTGTTTGCATTTCCTCATTTTTCAGTGCAGCAAACCAATTCCTCAGCTCTAAATTACCCTTTGCTTTCTCATCTCTACTTCTGCTGTTTTCAAGGGCACTGTTTCCACACCCCCAGATCCATACTTCTAGATCTCCATTCCAGTATGAGTTCACAGACTCAGTCCCTTCACCATCCTCTCAGATTGCCCACATGATCTCAGTTAGTGTTTCCAGGTACTTCCCCCCCATAACTGAGGTCTTCCCCCACGTAACACCAGGACAAACCATCTTCCAACAAGAACTCATGTAACAATACAGCGAATATTCCACCCACAAACTCTCAGCACCAGCTATTACACAGCAACCCTCAGAACAAGGACTGCTACCTTTGTTAACAGCAAAGCAACATTTCCCCAAAAGCTCAGCTCTGAGTTTCTCTTTTTAATGTTTTTGGCCTTTTGAACATTCTATCTGGTTCATGTAATAAACCACGATGATAATTAAGTGTAGCTGTAAATACAGTTCTTCAAACAGTGTTCTGCACACTCCTGCAACCCTGGACAGGTGTTAGGATGGTGACTGCCTGAGCCAATTAGACCAGGTGAACTGGTCCAGTTGGCTGTCTAACCTAACTGTAGGTATGTCTGTCTACAGCTGTCAGATGCTGCTGCGTTGAGGAATGAATCATAAAAAGAAATCTCAGTTAAGAAAAATGTCTAAAGAATCACACCATCTCCTTTCCCTCAGAGCTCTGCCTCTCCCATCACCCAGGATTACAACAGCATCCCCAGACACAGGTTCAGCAAGACTTGTGCTATCTTCACTCAGGCAATGTGAGAAACAACAAAAGACTACAATAATCAGAGCATAAATACCCAGCAGCTAAAACCCTTAAAAAGGTATACTAACTTGTTTTATTTCTTCTTTCTCTGTATGAACCTCTTATTAATATCATGTATTACATCTGCTACTCAGCCACAAAGCTTGTTTACATACTATGTGTGAAAACACGCATAAACAAAACCACAATGTCCTAATTCTGTGTTTGATGCTTGCCCCCCCACGCTTCCCAGTCTGCAAATAAACTTTGAAAGTCTTTGCAAGTCCAGCTTTGTTCAAGTGAACCCCAAGTGTGCCAGCAGCACTGGTCATTAACCAGCTCTTGCCTCACACAACAGTTTCTTATCAATGGTCCAGGCACTTCTGCTCCCTCAGCCCCAAACTCGCTGTGCAGGCAGGTTGATGACATGACTGAACAGTTTCATCTAGTTTTGCACATTATGTTTCCTAGAATAAACATGTGGCACCCAACTCTCCATCTTCTTGGCAAAACCAAGCAATAACACTGGGAAAATTAGAAGCAGCAAGCAGGTCTCAGCTAAGACCATTTTGAGAAACAGACTCTTGGCTGATATAATCCAAGAAGCTACAATGTTACTCCTGATTCAACAGAACCTTCACCTGAAGTTGAGTTGCATGGGATGGGGAAGCCCCTTAGACATCATCTTAACATCACTACACTGACTATCTCACTATATGTGATTACTAAAGAAATACACTTTTATCTAACCTCTCTGTAATATGCACATCAAAGCAGGTTTTTTTCTCTTTAGAAATTAAATACATATAGTGTAATGAGCAAAAAACTTAAAGTACTACAAATAAACCAATATCAAAGCTGACTAAAATATGTCCACTATGAAGAGTCAACTGGTCAGCCATTAAATAAGGCAGCAATTAGTCAGCACTGGTTTAGTTCTCACTGCATTTCCAATGCTGTTTTCATAAAAGAAGTACTGACAAGGACGGGGGGGGGAAAATCAACTCAAAATCAAAACAAAAAAAGCTTTCTTGTTACTTGATTTCATTTTGATGAGCCTTAAACCCCAAATCCCCCTTTGATCAAGCTGATTGAGTTTGGTGGTTTCAGTCTTTTTGTTCATGCCCCCCAAAAGGTGCAAAAAGCCTTTTTCTCTAAGTGGTTACTGACTTTCCCAAAACCAAAATTCAGACTAATGTATATGTATAAGTCAAACGTTGTTTTTATAGAGCATCATTAGCTGTCTGGTTTTAGACTTATTTTATTACTTTGCCTTAACTTTATTTGCTAGTTTGTGAACAACTTTCTATCTAGCATTCACCCTTCAGAGAAGTACCATATGCATTCCAAATATACACTTCCTTTCTAGACAGATATTCACATCTGTGGGAAACTGCAGGGCAACTTCAGTGGATTTAGTTCAAGAGCAGACCTTCAGAAGTCCCTTTTCACACAGTATTAAGAGTCTATTTATCCTTTAGAGGACTTGAGCTCATAAAGCAGTGTCCCAAGGAGTGGGTAACACACATCTGTACAAAGAAAGAACAGATCTTTACAGATCACAGGCAAACACAGTTTGAAGGTTAGCAGATAAACTTAGCTTTTTGTTAAATCATACATACGGGAAACTGATTATGCTTTTGACCCTCAAAAGACTATGTAAAGACCACTTTTAAGAGTATAAACTTCAAAATAGACCCTGAAGTCAGAGCAGTGCCACTCACAGAGTGCAAGTCTAAAAAACTGCAGTGTGTTGACTAAAGGGCAGGAAGAGGGGAATTCACTGGAAAAGGCAGTGTTGAAAGGAAAGAAGTAACAGTTATTTATACAAACTTTCATGACTTATCATGAAAGGTCATAGCTTACCTTATCAAAGGGAGGGTAATTAATAGGCTGTTTGGAATATTCCTGAAATCTAATGTGCAAAGCTGTTGCATTTTCAGTGTAAGGGTTAGTCTGGACGGTTCCCATGGGATTCAACATTTCTTCAAGTTCATCTGAAACATTGACCAAACAATTGATATTACAGGCCAGGCATGAATTAAAATTTGAAACCTCTGAACGGCAAGGATGCAGTAAGAAGTCTCTTAACGGGTACAACAGACAGAAGCATGTTCTGCAGCACAACACTTTTAGTATAGTGCTCTGCATTTCCAGCATAAACTACCTCCTACATTCCCAAATGTTCCATTATCACCCAATGAGAAACTGGTTTTCTCTTCCATCACAGTCAAGGAAAGCTGAGATATCCCTATAGTGAAACAAATCCCGGGAAGATCTGCAGCTTCTGCAAACCAGGACACACACTGCCTCTATTAAATAGCATTGAGGAAGAGTTTTAAGCCAGTTTTCTTTCAGCACTACAGCGAAGCTGATACAGGGTTTCTTGGCATGGAATGAAGAGTGACATGGAGGTTTCAGACACTCACTAATCAAGTTGAGTATCAGGGAAGAAGACAAAATTCTAACACACAGGTTTTGCTGATGCAAATATTGCTACATACACTATAATTTATCTATTTAGTTTAGGATGCACAGCAGAGGGAACCAAATGAAACCTAAACTGCTCCTTAAAAACAAGTAACACTAGATATAAACATGCATGTATTTTTATGTGGTTTTCCTTCCATAACAGACAAAACTTTTAGAATACTACTTCCAAGCAGACTCTTGCTCTTCCTCTTTTCCTGATAAACAATACTTGCAAGAAAGAGACTAAGATGCTATGTATTTTTCCATATAAAAAAATACAAGCAGTAAAGACACTATTATAGGGGAATGGGACATGCATACAGTAAATATTCTACTGCTTGATACTACATTCTCCAGTACTTAAAGCCCAAATCTTAAAACTTAGACTTTACCAGGAAATGATGACCAGCTGTGCAGTACCAGTTCTCCATTCTTCAAGTGTCCTTTATAATCAAACACCATGGTATTTACCCAGGCTACAGGATAATGCTGTTAAAGGAAATTATTTTTACATGGAAACTCAGACACCAGCAAATATTATTACAAAGCAAGCACTACAATATAAATAAAATTGAGAGGGTGGCTCTTTATTTTTTTTTTTCAAATAGTGATATCTTTTGGAAAAGCAGTTGATCACATGCTTAGCTTTCAGCATGTACTCCAGTGCCACTGAGGACAACAAGGACTTAATTTTAAGGGCAGTGTAAAAATACCCATTTCCCTGAATGTGAGCCTTTCCCTGACTGTAAGCCTAATGCTAATTTGTTTCATCTTTTCCCAATCAAAACTCATCTACAGCTCAGAATAAAACTGACCTTTTAAAATACAACTCTTTAAACAGCTATGTGACAACTGACTTACAACTGACATTTTTATGCCTTTTTCAGTGTCTGAGAAGTATCAAAAGCTTTTTCATACCAAGATGTGCACTTCTTAATACATGGGCTCTTTTTAACTTTTTATTTTCATTTTGCATTCCTGAACACTTAAGTGAGGACAAGGAAAACTTTCTGAATGTTCATTTCAATATAGCTCAGAGAAAAAAAAAATTAAAATAAAAATAAAAATAAAATAAAAAAAAAATAATTACCACTTTTCCTGCTTTCCTAATTGTTTGGTATTTGGAAGGATTCATTGCCTTAGTGGACTTTTTAGTTTTCATCTTATCCATCACAGCATAAACTGCAAAGCAGAGCCTTGCCATCCTTGGCAGATCACATACATTGATTTCAAACTCCAGCTCTTCATTCCAAACGTGGTCACTTCTCCCAGATATTTCTGTGCTTACAGTAGTTTTACAAAGGAGCTCTGTACCATGGAAAAGACCAGCCCTAACATGAACCTGCCATAAAGAAACAAAAAATATTAAGCTTGTCACAGAACCCACAGAATTCTCCATACAATATTATACAGAACGTACATATATGAATTTCAACAAACAACTAAACAGAATGAAAAATTTAAGATTAATTTCCTGAATACAAATTCAAGTCTCCAGGTAGAACCAATTTGTGCTTCAAAATGAGAAAAGCTTGGGGGTTTTTCCAGCTTAAAAAGAAATAATTTTTTACTTAAACTGTTTATAAAAATCTACAGAGGGAACACTGATGACTCCAGCATCAGAAATCACCTGTAATAATAATAATGACAATGCACATGATTTCCAGGAATTGTTTCGCCTTTAGCACTCAAAACCCAACAAAACCAGGTAGCTTGAAGGATGAAAATAAGGATCAGGAAGGCAGAAGAACAAATAGATAAAGAAGCTGGAGCTATTGGCACTGAAATGAAACACATTACAGGTCAATGCATTTCTGTTTAATAACATATGTACACAGAAAACTGCAGAGTGAAATATGCCAACTTCTTTCAGGTGGCCTTCCAAAAATACCAATATGAGATAGAAACCCACAAGTGTAATCCTTTGGTCAACACCTAAGAGAAGTTCTCGATGTTACAGTTAAATGTGTGAAAGTGATCTGCTGTCTCAGGTTCCCTAAGCTCCTAAGCAACCTTCCCAACATTTCCTTTAAGCTATCAGCTTATTTCTGAGCACCGCAAGGGAAAGACAGATGTTTCCAATTTGATACAGGTTTTGGATTAAAAAAAAAATTAATTCACCTTTCTAATTCTACAATTTCTAATCCAGTTAATATAAAAGCTTGGGTCCAGATTTTTTTCTTTGCGTTCTGACACTTCCCTTTTACTAATGACACTGTGTGTACCAATGGTGCAGTCAAAGAGCAACACAAAAAGACAAGCAATTTCAAATGTCATGCACTTGGATAACGGGGTGTTAGACAGATGAAAGAGGTCACTTGTGCTCTAGGTGAACACACCCAACCCAGCTCACATTATTGCAGTGCTACCCATCTGACAAATGTTTTGTTTCCCACCACAAACACTGCATTTGTGAACCTTGGTGGTGGATTCAGCAAAAAGGGATGAATATTGGCTTGATCCAAAGCACAGTGGGCGTAAATGAACAATGGCAGTGAATTAAACAGCCTTAGAATCAGGACTAGAAAACAAATGAGTTCTCAGTAGTGACAATTTCATAACAGTGTAGACAGACAACACAGGGAAACATGCACAAGTTTGCAGGGCTGCTCTGTGCATTCTTGTTCTTGGGTAAGCACAGCACTTCTAAGTTTTCAATACTAAAAAGCATTCAAAACACTAAATAATATTTAGATGGTGCCCACAGGCGCTAATACAAAAGAATTGACAACTTTTCCTGTTTCTTATAATCAAAGTATTTTGTTTTTCCTCTAAAAACATATTCAAATTAACCAAAACTCACTTTGTAAAGCATGGATAATACACCTAGAAAAACCTAATAGCTATATTGATTCCAGAATCCACCTTCTTTTTTCCCTTTCTTTTCTTTTAAAAACTTGAGAATTTGCAGAATGCAGAGATAAGAAAATATTAGAACTAACTAAATAATGGTTTAGACAGAGAAGAGGGAAACATCTAGTTTTGCAGGGATGCATTTCCACAATCACAGTGTCTCAGGAAGTAAAATTTAATTATGGTTCATTTTGCTATGTAGTAAAATGTAGGATTGCTAATTTACAAGGAGGTTGTAACAATAGCTTTGAATGAAACAAATGCACCAAGTATCCTGAATAAAGCATCAGAACAGCAAATACCAGTGGCTAATTGGATCTCTTCCTTCTCTACATGACTGGTTATACGATCTATTGATTGCTAAACAAAACAAAGGAAACTAATGTTGTTCTATCTCACAGGAATTGGTCTTGTAAGGCCTTAAAGTAGTTTTGCAATAAATTCCCATGTGTTAACTTGTGGTCTGTACAACAGTCAGTAGCCCAGTCATGTACATTTTTACAGGAAGTGGTATTACAGCTTTCTTTCTTTGTGTTCCTCATGTTTAGAAAATAAAAGACAGATTGTATAGAAGCATACAGTCCATGTTTAGACACAGATATTTAGGACTACAAACCCCCTCATGTCCCGCTGAAAAACATCTAATATTTAATCTGTGTCAGGTGTTTACAACAGTCTATTTTAAATAAGCCTATTTCACATCAATATCAGTACTTTACAGATACCATCTTTTAAAAAATTAAGTACTGTGTAAACATTCATGTCATTCTGTCACAATTATTGCAATGTTGTAATGCACATATCGAACTTCAGACAATAAAGGAATACTTTAACATTAAAGCTGGATTTTTAACAAATGCTACCAAGGTCATTGGGAATAACTAAAAATGCCTATACTTTTGCTGAATTGAAACCTGTATGATTTTGAGTTCATTTAACATTGAAAATCATTAAAGTGATGAACAGAATGTCTTCTGATACTAGATGTAGTTACTTACTTTGGCATTTTCTTCTGTATTTAGTTTATTACCCTTTAACAGAATAATCTTGAAAGGGTTGGAAATATCCCATACACTCTGAGAAGGGAAACAAAGACAAATTCATTCTTCATCAGTGTAACATTGAGACTTATTTTATAAGCTACACATTTTAAGCAAGTCGTAAATACAAACACAAATGCACTTTTAAAAATACAGATTTGAAATCTTAATGGATAAGTTGGTCAGCAGTAACTACAAGGAGACAAAGTAAAAACTCAGCTGAAAGGGGGTTGGGGAGGAGAACATACATCACGTACTACTTCTGACAATTCAGAATAACCCTTCAAATTTATTGTTCATTCTGAATAACTACAGAGTGTGTAACAGAGCAAAGATCTGTCCACATTTCTTAGAGTGACAGCACATAAAATATAACTGTGCTGTGAGGCCAAAAGTTCAGTAATAAAGGAAGCACCAGATTATAAGAAAGTTAGATGCCTATTGTGGCAAAAATCACCATCACTGCAGTGGCAGCATCACATATGATATCTGGGCTAATACAGAGATCCCAGAGCACTGCTGCCCAAGCCAGTGGAGCTCCAACAAAGCTGGAGAACCCAGGTTCTCTGCAACAACTTCTCCAGCTGTTGGTAACAGATTATTACCCACTCCCCCGGGTTGTGATTTAAAGTACAATCGATAGCAATGGGAAGGGGGGGAATGGATGGTGGAACAGGAGAAGGAGGATGGATGAGGTGAGGGAAGGTAAGAAATTTCCAAGCAGCCTCAAGGTCTGCTATTTCTGAGGTAAATCTCACAAGCAACAGGCGGCTCTGAGTACACCCAGGTGACCTACACTGGCAAACAGCAGCCACAGCACAAATCCCAGGATTTATATTTCCTGGGTTCCTTTCGGGTCTTAGACATTCCCCACGTGAACTTACAGTTGTTGCTCTTGTTTTTTTTGGTGGCAGAGGAAGAGGAAGGGTGGATGATTTTCGGTTTATGGCAGCTTCTATGGCAATCATCTCCTGCTCACACATCTTCTTGATGGTGCAACACTCAACCAGAGTCAGCTGAGGGAGAGTCCTGTTCATCACACAGTTGCGGATGTACTAAAAGCCCACGGAAAACAGTTGTTACCAGCTAGCAGAGTGTTTCTACAGCAACTTTGAAATCAAAGAAACAAATAATTCATTACAAAGATACAAAGGGAAGGGTGCACACGTATTTTACAACTGGAGAGGGCTGCAGACATGAAGAGACAAGGTGTTACTGTTCAGCACAGCCGACCATCCAAGGGGACAGGGAGCACCTTTGGCCAAGGCAGCAGAGAATTGTTACACCGAGTTCCAAAAAATTTCATGTACCTGGAACTGAATTAACGGGTGATCACCAAAAACATATTCTAGCCTTCCACTAACTTGCAGCACATAGTCAGCAGGATCAACTTCCTCATCTTCTTTTCCATGGATAGTCAAACGTTTTCGGATTGCCAGCTCGTTCAGCTTGATGGGATTCATGTTAGGAGACACCTGGAAACTAAATACATCCTAACAAAACACAAGCAGGAATACTGAATGTCAAACTTGTCATAGTCAGATGTACAAGGCTTAAATTGTAGCATACATAATAAAATAGAGCAGAAATAATAACTGCTAAAACCAGTCTGTTTAACAGATAATGTCTATATCTTTAGGGCGATCACAATAATAATCACCCTAAAAGCTGCAAAACGTCAGATCCCAAACTTTTATATTATCAGAAGTACTTTTAAGAACACAGACCTTTATCTTTTTGATTCAACAGTGATTTAAAGACTTTTAGAGCAGTGTACTGATCCAGCAGCTTGTTTTTGGAATGTGACTGAGGGAACCATAAATCATGCACACATTCCAAGGTATTTAGCAGTACTAGATGTGCTAATTTTTCTTCCTTCTGGCCACTAGCAATTTATCCTCTTTCTAAGTATCATTGTACTCAGAAGGAAAAGAAAACTTCAAGTTATAAAGCAGAAGAAACTGTTAATGTGATTAATGTACAAAACCACCATCAAACCAGGAGGAGAGCAGAAAAGAGGAGTAGCAGTCAACACCTGTAGCACTCTGAATACAACATGCAAAGACTCTGCATTTTATAAGAATTTTTTTAATCAAACCTTTAGAGGTTATTTGTATATTTCCAAAGTAACTCTAATTTCAACGTGCCCTAAAAAGATTAGGGAAGAAATTACTTTCCTTTGTAAGTAAAAAAAAAATTTTATATTCATTTCAAGTTCCTAATGTAAAAGATCTGTGAAATCTTTCATTTCCCTTAATCTATCACATTATGCTCTGCACAGGCTTGTTGATTCAGGGAATTCTGAGGGTTTGGTGTATTTTTGATTTTTTTTTTAATTATTATTTTTTATTTACACACAATTCTGAAGATGTAAGCATCCTAAACCCAGTTATTAACAAATGTGAAGTATTGTCTGGCTTACATTCTTTTGCATTGTGCTTTATTTATATAGACATTTACTGGTAAGAAGCCAAGCTGCCCTAATGGAAAAACCACGCTAAAGTCACGCTAAATTAATTCTGTATTTTCTCAGTTTCTGCATGGTTCACCACAGCTTCCCCCTTTCAGAAAGCTGCCACACTGTGAAGGCTTTCTCCTAGCAGTGGGTAGACAAGGAATAACACTTTCTTCCCAGAAAGCTGGCGCTCTCTGGCAGCTGCCTTCCTTCCCAATTGTAGGATTTGATACCCACGTCACAGAAATGAGGATCAGCCTCTCTTGCTCCAGAGATAACCAGGGAGTTCTTATAGCTCACCCACACCTTCTAGACAAAAAGTATTTTCTCTTTCTCACTCTTACAGCTGAAAGAATTAAAAGACCACAACAGTCTCCTAGGGTGATTCCAGTGCTCAGTACAAGTAGTAAGGTCTGGAACAGAGTTTACTGCTCTAAAAAGCAGCTCAGATTTGAACTGTTAACAGTTCTGAAGGTCAGAGCTGGCAGCAGAAGCATTTGAAACATTTGAAATGTCAGCAGCCTAAGCTTTTATAGTGGCAGGCAAATACATTCTGCACCAGCATGAACTTTTGCTCTGCTTCTGTACTGTCAGCATATGCATATATATGCAGTATCTTAATCAAAAGCTGACAAACACACAGATACTCTCACTACTGGACAACTACAAGGTCTCCACTAAGCCAAAGAGGACTGCAAAAGGTTTTGTTATAATACACCTATGCACCTAACATCAGCTGGTGTTACTGGTGACCCCATATAGTATGCACCTCTACAGTTAATGTTCCCAGAGGCAGATTTGATCTTTCCATTTATTTTTTTTTAAGTTTAAAAAGATAGCACTAGAAATTACACAGTTTTGAAAATAAAATTATCTGAATCATTAGAAAATCAGTATCTAGCACCTCGGTCAAAAACCTGATATATTTACACACCTGTGAGATTTTTAAGGTTTCCAATGCTGATCATTCACAGTTATCCAAAAGAAGAGAGTGAAAAAAGGAGTAACGGGAATGCTGGACTCAAACAGAATCACAGCAACTTCAACATCAAAAAATGTCAGGCTAAAACATTTTAGGTTTTTTTGGCGGAAACGAAAGGGGTTTTTATTTTAAAAATAAGCCATAGTTTTGTTAGCCAAAACAAAAAGGTAACAAAAAGTCTCAGTGTTTTAATTGTCTGTGTGCATTTTGAGAAGAGGGAATACTAATTCTTTTCTTTTTAAATGCATTGCTCAATCTAATGAGCAGACCAACCCCAAAGATGTTCAAGGAGCCACACATAGAGGGAAGTGTGTTGAATTCACCAGCAATCCCTGATGAACTGAGCTTAAAATTGAATGCTATTGAAGCAACACAGTAACAGTTGTCCAAAAATAGTCCTGACAACTTTGAATCATGTTTTATGTTTAAACAAATGTGAAATAATATAGAATATACAAGTTGTGCATTTTGCCTTGAGAAGTAGAACTGTAATTTGACTTTAGAAGTTCAGTTCTCAACTGTAGGTTCACATTCTCACTTTCTTTCAAGAGTCAAGGACCCTGGTGATAGAATTTGCATTTTAAAGCAAACACCACAATGTTAGTATTCTATTTCATTTACATCAGTCCCATGCTAACTCAGATCTGGGTAAAAACAGACACGAAATGTGATGAACAACCACTCCTACCTGGCAGTTATCAAAATGAACAGCCACTACAAGATTTCCACTGTAGAGCTTATCTTGGAAGCTCTCTGGGATAACAGGTTCCTGCTCTGGTGGGTAAGTGTGTTTTAACCAGTCCATCCAGGAGAGACCCACAAGGGACTGAATCTTTTCCTCGCTGATCCTCCGCATTTTAGCTCGGAAGTCGTTCACTTCAGGATCTTGTAAGGCATCGAACTCATGGAGACCTGAAAGAATTCAAACAAGCAAAAAGATATATACCTGAACCAATGTGTCTCTTAGGTACTATTACATGGAAAAGCCAAGCTCACCCTGACTTTAATACTGTTTGGAAAGTTTTAAGTCTCTCCTCACAAGAGCAAATGAAGAGAAAGCACAGTAAATGCATCATAAAGGCCACAGAGCAGAAGAAGTGTCTGCAAATATTTTTTTTAATCCCACAGAAAGATGACATCTTCCTTTTTAGTTGTGTTTAAAAGTCAAAAAAGAAAATCTTCTTCTCGGATCAAAATGGATCAAAATGGCAGGACTGAAATTTCAGCCAATCCAAGACCAGTCAGGTTCCTTTTCCAAAATATGCAAAGAGAGAATTCACAGGGCAAGTCCTGCCTGACCAGCCTAGTGGCCTTCTACGATGGAGCAACTCCATCAGTGGACAAGGGATTGACTATGGATGCCACTTCTCCAGATTTCTGTAAGGCCTTTGACACGGTCCCTCTCTAAATTGGAGAGAGATGGATTTGATGAGTGGACTGTTAAATGGATAAGGACTTTTTTGGACAGTCACACCCAGAGGGTGGTAATCAATGGCTCAGAGTCCCAATGGACATCAGTGACAAGTGGAGTCTCTCGGGGGGCTGTATTGGTATCAGTGTTTTTTAATATCTTCATTAATGACATAGACAGAGGGCTGGAGGGCATCCTCTGCAGACCTGAAGATGACAGGAAGCTGAGGGGTGCAGTTGACACTCTTAAGGACAGGATGCCACCCAGAGGGACCTGAACAGGCTTGAGAAGTGGGCCCATGGGAATCTCATTGAGGTTCAGATATCAAGTGCTGGTGCTGCACCTGGGATGGGGCAACCCCCCGGTATCAGCACAGGCTGGGGATGAACAGACCGAGAGCAGCCCTGCTGAGAAGGACCTGGGGGTGCTGGTGGGTGACAGGCTGGACATAAGCCATCAATTTGCACTCACAGACCAGAAAGCCAAGGTATCCTGGGCTGCATCACCAGCAGCATGGCCAGCCTGTGAGGTTCCACTCTGGTGAGACCCCACCAGAAGTACTGTGTTCACCTGTGGGGCCCCCAACATAAGGAGGACATGGATCTACTGGAGTGAATCCAGAGGAGGCCATAAAGATACTCAGAGGGCTGGACCACCTCTGCTGAGGACAGGCTGAGAGTTGGGGTTGTTCAGCCTGGAGAAGAAAAGGCTCCAAGGAGACCTTAGAGCACCTTCCAGTACCTAAAGGGGAGGCCAATAAGAAAGCTGACAATAAACTTTTTAGCAGGGCCTGTTGCAACAGGACATAGGATAATGGTTTTAAACTAAAAGAAAGTAGATGTAGATGATACATAAATAAGAAATTTTTCACAATGAGGGTGGTGAAACACTGGCACAGTTTGCCCAGAGAGGTGGTGGATGCCCCGTCCTGGAAGCATTCAAGGTCAGGTTGGATGGGGCTCTGAGCAACGTGATCTAGTTGAAGATGTCCCTGTTCACTGCAGGGGGTTGGAATGAGATGAGCTTTAAAGGTCCTTCCATCCCAAACTATTCTATGTTTCTATAATGGAGAGTCCACGCAGCTGTGACTCCTTGGTACTTCAGGATATGTAGGGCCTGCAACTGTGTTTATCTTTTCTCCTGAACTTGGAAGGACATTGTCCAAATCACACAAAGCACTGAACACCTTTTTAGAACAAAACACTAAGTACAGAAGCTCAGGCAGGAACACTTTTTTCCCCACTGCTAAGGTACAGAGCAGGAGCTGCAGAAGGAAGGGCCACACGCAGCTATAATAAGCCAAATATTCAGTCACAGACTGTGAATCTCTCAGAATCTGTCTGAATGGTTAAACTGACCAACTGCTCCCATTGTGGGCTCTAACAAATAGGCAGACAGTGTATTGCTGAAATCTAAACAAAACCTGCAGTCTTTATAAGGGACCTAACAATGGTTCATTGTTTTAAAACAAGAGGTATGACCTCACACGACCCTGTCAGTCTGGATTGTATAACCAAGCAGAGTAGATTTAAAAGCTGAAAATTCTGACATAACATCAAGAATAAGTTACTGTGAAACCTTTAAAAATAACCTTTCATTGTTTGATGAAAATCAGTGACACAATTGAGAGCAACAAAAGAATCATATTGTTAACCAACTCAGACACCATATGTAGTAAAATCATAATAATTCTAGTTCCTTCTGTGTAATCAGTTAACTGTTGAGCTATTCATGATAGCACTGTTCAAGGATTATGCTTTTCTTCACTTAGTAATAATAATAAAATTATAAATATTTTCTCCTCATCTATCAAAATAAAATTTTCTCTTGAATGATGTAGTAATACAATATAGTGCTGAAATGCAATATAGAAAGTAGCTTTAAACAACTTTCATGTTTCATCTTGAGCATTTAAATCCTTTCCAACTACATCAGTATTTGTTTGAGAAAGGGAAATACTGAATTTTTAAGAGAAATTTTTAGAAATATTTTAATATATTTTTAATATATTTTACCTGCCCAATAAAGACCCTCGTAACCAACAAACTTTACCCTTATTTAAAAAAAAAGAAATTAAATGCAATTACCTTTGCCTATGAGGACACCTATTTTGGAATCCAACTTTTCTCCTGGATCACAATTCCTTGTCACTAGTTTAAGGACAGGAAGAAAGGGTCTAACATCACAAAGTCTCCGGGTTTCATCCTCTAATTCTTCATGTACAGCAGTCTGATTCACACATGAGAACATGTAAGAGTCAATCTCCATGAGGAGGTGGAAGAGTGGATAGGCATGTGCCTGCTTCCATAACAGCTGCAACGAAAACAGGCAAGAAAATGAAACAAAACAAGAAGGCATGGATATATGGTAGGGTATTTCCATTTGTGTGCCCAAAAGAACATAAAAAGTAGCATGTTTGCTAACTTGGTTCATTTTTATCTCTCTCTATTATTATTATATATCTACTTTGTCTCGTTTGTAGTCTCCACCTTGAGGTTATTTTTAAGTAGCAATAAGTGTGTGATAAATATCCCAGGGGCAAAAAACACACAGGGGACAAATACTATGAAGTGACGAGAGAAGGGCAGCACTAGTCCTCATCCTGATCCTTATCCTTGGCTTCCCCAGCACAGTCCTTTTTGCAGTGAAGTTGCAGGACCTGGGCTGTCACCACAGTTAACAAAGCACTAATTGATTTTGGAGCCAGCTGCTCTTGACACCAACCAGCAAACTGCTGCTCTCCTCCATCCGTTCCTACAGCTTCCTATCAAAATCCTTCTTCCTCAAGACACATCTGTATTTCCTTTTTCCAGTAATTATTGTAATATATAGAAAAGAAGTTCTCACTATGGAACCAATTCCTGAACAAAAAAACCTAGTTGTCTGGAGAAGCTTAAAGTAAATGTATTTGTAAAGTACAAATCTTTGGCAGAAATCAAAATTGTAAGTAAAGTAAGTTCTCCCAACCTAAATACTACTCAAATCTTTATCTGCAAGAATATTTTTGTCCTTATTTTACAAGTTTGCATTTTACAGATTAGTTTCTCAAGCTTCTTTCAAAACAGGAGCTGCAGGACCAATAATGTAATGGCAAAAACCTCCTCTCAAATAATTGCAGCTGAACCAAACTGCTTTTGTGGAACTGAACACATCTGCATACATTTCACACACTTGCAACAATGAATTCTGTCTGCCAGAAATGTATTCCAGTGCATTCTGCATAGCTGAGTGAGAGCTCAATCCAGCAGCTTTCTTTGGTGTTGAGCAAAAATTCCAGTTTCAACAAAAGATTAAATCTATTATTGCCTCTCCTCCTGAGTTGTGCAACTTCAATTTCCAGCTACTGGTACTTCTTAGATGACTTAATGATTACAAAATTTACAAAGCCATGAAGTCCCTGAAATTGGCTTTCACTGAAAGCAGATACTGTCCATCACCCACAGCATGGCCTGGTAAAATTGAAAATTCCATAGAAATGAAAAATTCTTCAGCCTTCAAATAATTGGCTATTTTACTCCCCCCCCTTATTTTAATTGTAACCATTCCATGTACAAGATAAACTCCTTATATTTGCTCTCAAGTCCTCTATTTATATATCCAAGAGTCCACAAACTATGCCTTGTCACAGCAACGTGGTGGGACCAAAGCTGCTAATCCAGTTTGCCATCAAAGTCTTCATTACTGTTCTGTTTTCAAACACAGTGATTTCCAGGAAAGACCTCTGTAGATAGGATCAACATTCCTTTTCTTTGAAAAAACAGCTAAATATCAACAGTACCTGTTTATAGCAGGCTAAGTTCAGTGTGCCACAACTATCAAGAAAACCTGACAGCTTAGTTCAAGCCCCTTATTGTTGTCACTTACATGCTTGTTTTTTTAAATTCTTTAGCAGTTGAAATCACTGTCAGTTATTCCATTATCTTACTCACCAACTAACCTGTTATGTTGCCATTATGACATTTTTCCAATCAGAATTATTTCAAGTATTTGAGTATAGCACAAAACTCGGATCACTTCAATTTCTGAGAAAATACTGCAGTGTCTGGAAAGTTTCAAATCAGGTGTAAAAGAAATTACATGTAGCTACTACTGATTCAAAGAAAATAAAGTCTACAAACAAGTGAATCCTGTCAGACCGAATAGGCCTTAAAAACAATATACTTATTTACCAGAAAATTCAATGGAAGGAGACATCACACTTCTTTATTTTCTTTTAGAAATTTATTATGCTCAAGGATTAGATTACTTGGTGTTGTAATTCACTCACTGCCCTGTCTAAATGTCTCCACATGGCCACTGTCTGATGAAAGGTCAGTAGAACGTTCTTTAATATCTCTGGTTATTTCCTTATGTTCTCCCCTTTGATTTAGATATTCCCTCAGATTTTAAGTGATGCCCTAATTGTATAAAACCTTTAAGAAATGGCAGACAGACTTTTTAAAGCATCAGGCTTTGGTATCCATCAAAAGAAGCAGGAGCACAATCTATGACTTCTATACTAATTAGACACACTAATCAGAGAAATGTTAGATCAATAAACAATGTATTACCAATGTGTTAGAAAAAAGGTTTAGAGCAGCAATACAGTGTTAAGGTAGAGCTACTAATCTCTGCTGAACTGTAACTACCAGCAAGGAATAACGTCTCCAAACCTTGCCATCTGCCCAAAGCCCTTGCAAACTCCCATATACATATATTTGTATTAGTCAATCTGCAGTGCATGTGCCTTCAACACATTATTTTTATGCCTACTCCAATTCATTACTTGATTTGCCAAAAGGCACATAAAAATCAGAAACAGCACTCACACCTAACAGAAGTTAAAGTTTAAGTTAACTGCCCATTTGGCACTACCTGTTTAATATGAGATATGGTGGCATCTCGAGGGACATCCAGGTTGATGTAGATTCCAGTGGGCAACAGGAAGTCCACAGATATTGAGCCATCAGCACCAATCTGGGAATCCACTGCCCAGATGTCAAGACTGTCTGTCACAGCAGGAGGCATTATGGAATCTCAATGATATCATAACCACGTGGCCTTAGGGGAAAAAAAAATAATAAAATTCAGTATACTTAACCTTTTATAATTAGACACACATTTTAAAGCCTTTGGAAAGTTTATATAAGTTCTGCTTGTACAGCTCAGCTTACAAGTCTGGGGTCTCAAATGCCAGTATTGCAAACACATAAGCAGAGTTTTAGTCATTAATGTTATTTAAAGGTAAAGCACTATTGTTGAGATGTTTATATCATTGTGACGAAGTAATAAGAGAAAAAACTAACTAATTAGAGGTTAGCTAAAACAAAGGTAGAAATTAATTTTATGTTTTCCCTAAAAAATTACTTGCATAAAACACAATCAAAGTAAGTTTCTTGGATGAAACATGGCAATATTTCATATAAAAACATGAGCAGTTTCATTATTTTATTTTTTGCAAGTTTCCTGTTAGTTGCCCACAGATGTGGCCAGTGACATATTCAACTTGAAAGTCCCTATGAATAGCAGGAAAAACATCTTCAACTCTATTAGAAAGTGACATTTTCCTCTAAAGACACTTATCTCAATTTGTTTTCACCCGCAAAAGTACAGGACAACACCCTCCAGTCTCACCTCTACCTGCCATGTAAATATACTGAATAACAAGACCCACTTTTCCTCAATAGAAGCAACAATTAAGGAGCCTCTGTCATCATCACTATCAAATAATGTTTTATCACCATCATGTCCTCATTTTCCCCCCCAAAAAATCCACTACACTGATCGAATTGAATCAAAACAAGAACTGGGGGTGAGGGTGCAGACCTGGTGAAATAACAAATCAGATATGAAGATATTTTACCTGAATTACCACATTTTACAAATGGATTCATTCATTAGTGGGCATGCAAAGTTTAGCACGGTGTGTGAGCTCTAAACCGCATACAGAAAAGAAATAAAATGTAATCCCATCATGTAACATAGATTACATTATTGGAATAACACAGCATCTACCCAAAAAAAACTAGAAAAATCGTGTAGTTCCTCATTACTAATCAGGAGATCTTTAACAAGCTACTATTTAAATGGGATACTATATTTCTTTTCCTCCATCCAGTTCCTTCTACCCATAAAATCCTGGCTGCAGTTCTGTTGTAACTGAAATTAGTAGCCCAAGAAAAACAATAATACTAAACATTTCTCATACTTTGATGCACACACAGTATATTTTCAGTTATTTTATGTGGTCATCAGATTAAAATAAAGTGGTACTGCGTTATAAAACATGACAGGTACAGCAGCAAGGAAACCATTAATCTGTTCTGTGTAGTTATTTAGTTCATAATTCATTCCTGTTTTACTTCAGCATATGATTTTTTTTAAATTTTCATCCCCTTTCAGATGTTTTTCCACATTTGCAATTGCGAAATCACTTTAGTGCATCAACAAGAGTTTAAAAATGTTCAAAGAGGCAAGAGTTAAAAATGCTGCCCCACACCCCGAAGACCAGGCACCACAACGCAGAGAATTATAAAGTTTCACAAGATTCTTGTTTATAATTATGAGCTTCCAACACACACATCAGAATCTTTTAAATTTCCATTTTCCATTAAAAAGGGAAGCACAGCCATCATGCCAGCCTGAGCATGCTGGGAAGCTATTCTTGCTTTCAGGCACTTACTTAATATTTCCTCCCTCAAGGAAGCAGATCAGCCTCTTGTACAGTCAGCACCCTATTTCTGACCCAGCAGTGACATCAGGGGGGTCAAGAGAGAACCAGTATTTATCCTGAGAAATGGCAAACCCAGGGTGGCTGTGAGAATGACTCATGGCCCAAACTGTGACATGTAGTGGCACCAGTGACTAATTTACAATATCACATCTAGGAACTGAAACAAAGTCATCCGGATGGGGAGCAACAACACCAGAGACATTTTAAACAACTTCCAGCTAAAGGAAAAAAATCCCAACAATTAAAATAATAATAAAAAGCTATTTCAGGCTGTTAACCTCATAGCTATTCTTGCCTACTGTCACAGTAACAACAACTTCACGTACAAAAAAAGGAAGTCATTAAAACAGCTATTCAAATCTTGGCTACTCGAATAACTTTGAATTTCACAGCAGCGAAGCCCAATACAAAATGCTTTTCTAAGTCACAGGTATGTAGTATTTATAGACAGCATTCAAAAAGTGTAAATTTTCTCTTAAGTTTACCCTGTGGGTTTCAGATTCACACATATGTGTGCACACATACACACACACTGCTCAACTCCTACTTCGATATACCTGCAGTTCTGAGAGAGCTGCTTAGACTAAAGGAAAGAAACAAAACACAGATGAGTAAGTAGAACATCTGCAGAACAAGAAAAAGAAAACTCAACATTCATTTTTGTATTTACTTATTTAATGTCCTCAAACAAGAAGCCTTACAACAAGAGTTCTCAATTGGATGGTATCATTTGGTCTTTTAAAGGAATTATCATCTCTAGGCAAGAGTTCCCTTACTAAGCCACCCACTCAGACACTGATCCCATTTTGCTGAGAAGGCAGGCAAGACTAGTTTATGCCATACTCAATTCCATCACGACAACTACTTCAGGACATCACTGAGAGGCCAGGAGCACCCTGCTGCAAAGGCTTCATACCACTGCTGTAAGAGTTGGAGAAATCAATTTTACCTGTGCCAAGTAGTTAGAGTGCACATGTAAAGGAATTATATGCAGGATGTGCAAGGATCTGATGTAAAACAGCACCAATCAAGAAGATACAAAAGACAAAGAGAGTTCCTAAGGTTATCCTGAAATTAAGAGCCACACAAGAACATGCTCAGAAAAAGAGAGCCTGTCTGAAGGCACTGCAAAACATCAGACATGGAGCAACAATGTCATGAACTTTCCTTTGAAAATAATTGATAGTATCAGCAAAAGACTTAGAATTAAAAAGCACCACAGAATCACAGAATCAGTTAGGTTGGAAAAGCCAAATCCACTTGGATTGTCATCAACAGTCAATATTAATCTGTGTCAGATAAGTTCTTCGGAAACCAACATTTTGAAGAATGCACCAATTATGAAAATTCACACTATGTCATAATTGTCCTTCACTTTAAACTCACCACAAATCCCCTATCACTCATCCTTTGAGGTCTATTTTTTCTGTTATTAAAAAAAAATCAACATAAAATCCCATGCAACATTCAATCCATTATCCCGAAGCATAATCAAAAAGAATATTAATAAAACACAAATAAAAGTAGCTGCAAAGAAGCTGGTGATTATAAACAACAGAGGAAAATGTTGATGCCCCGTTATCTCTCACAGCATTTATTCTCCTGAGCATCAAAAAAAATCTTGTCTTCAAACAAGTCTTTAGAAGAGGTATTGTACATCTGAAATGATGTCACCCACCCCTGACATGTGGACACAGCTCTCTCAGGATGGAATAAATATGCTATCATCCCAAACAGACAGGAGAAACCTGGGGGGATGATCACTTGTGTATTAAAAAGTAATTTTCCTTAGGAAATAAGTTTCTTTCACATCATCTCTTCCAAACACAGATGCATTTTAAGGGCACATAAGTATCTACAGCTCTTCAGATTAAATATAAACCTGGATTTACTTTTCTTTTCACTAAAAATATGAATATTTACATAAAGGACAAATATCAGAAACTAGCTTGTTCTGCTTATAAAAAACTAAGAGCTCTCTGCTTATCCAGATTTTTGCTTTATGTCAAAGTTGTTACAACTGTTGAGCACCACATTCAAGACGATTACCACTGTGTTCAATACAGCTCTTTATCTACTGCTTGCTCTGTCATGTGGCACTCAAGGGGCAAAAAAAAAAAAAAAAAAAGTCTTGTAGTAGTGAAAAGGGCAGTGTTTAAACAGTATCTTACTGTCCAGAACAGACTAGTGACAATCTGACCACAGTAATTTTGTAGGAAACAGCAGCAGCATATCACGTAGTCTAACTAGGAGAAACTCTAAGCAATTCCACAATATAACCATTGTAATAATTTTTCTAACTACGTAAACATCTGGTGCTATGAAAAGATGAGCAAGCTATAAATGAAATATCTGAGCACAAACAAGGGAGAAGAATCTAGCAGAAAGATGGGAAAGGAGTCAGAATATACAGGAGGGTTTATGTCCTATGAAACTTAGGAGGCCTTCGGGGGAAAAGAGAAAGGAAAAATTGAAAAAATTCTGATATCCTTTGAAAACTTTGAAGTCAAATATATAGATTAGATCAGCGTGCCAGTTCATAGCTTCACAGAACTACATCCTCTTGTATTCCTAAAACAATGAATTCCCGGGTGCTGCCCCAGCCCCTGAGCTTACAGGCCCAAGGCAGTACCAGGCCAAGGCACAGGCAGCAGTTTCCATGCGCTGCACGGAGTCCAGCTGTATCTACAGGGACTCCAACAGGATCCTTCAGACACAGCTTGACTCTGCTAAGTCCCCCTGGTGCCACCGTACCCACAGCTCACTCGGAGGGCAGCCCACGGCCAACAGCAGCGCTGTTCAGCTTTCCCCTTTCCGGCCATCCCCTCTCCCCGCTCAGGGCACACAATGGGAAAACAAAATAAACAAACATTGCCGCTTTTCCATCAGCCCAGGGCCTGCCTCACCCTGGGACAAGCAGGCACCGTATCTGAAAGCAGGGTGGGGTGAGAACACAGTCCTTACCCTCCGGCAGCCGTCACAGGGATGAAATGAGGCTCCATGTTGGAATTGCAACCAAGCTTCTGCTTGAAGGTTTAACGTGACAGGACAGCGATGCCAAGCAATGCATGGGCCACTGAGAACTGATCTTCTGTTCCCTGGCCCTCACAGTTCACACAGGACCAACGGTGACCCTCTGTTAAAGATGGCATCCAGCGCACTGACAATTAAAGTTTATCCTCTTTTACTACATACCATGCCACTGAAATTCCTGCTTAGCCCTAAAGAATGAACCCACTCAAGGCTCTGGCCTTTTAGAGCTGCACAGGTGAATGCCCATCTAAACTGCTTACAAGTCTAAATACAACCAACTGACGATAAATACAAA